ACTCCCAGTCCCGTTCTCTGCCTCCCACAGGTAACCATTTTAATTCATTTCAAGTGTATCCTTGTTTTCACTTTTCTTAAAAACAAATAAAACTGTAATTTTATGTTATGTCTGTTCTTACATAGAGTATAGCATAACGTGTTTGTCTTTATCAGTCACTTCAGTGCTGTATTTTGGAGGGATTACTCCCATACAGAGAAATCCTCTTTTTGGTGTGTTTGTTGTAAGTTAGTGTCTCACTATGTAACTCTGGCTGGCTTGCTCAGAATGACCCTCCTGCCTTACTGTCCTGAGCTGGGATTATATGTGTACGCCACCACGCCCAGCTCCTTGTTCTTTTTGATTGAAGAGTATTCCAATTTATGAATGCTTATTCAGGCATCCTCCTACTAGTAGATGTTTTACGTAAGAGTGATATTACTGGGAACTAGTGGAGAGAAGCGAAGCTTTGATGATACGAAGTAAGTGGATACCAGTACGGTACTGAGGAAGATAAAAGATTTGAAGATAGCCATTCTGAAAATAATTCGTAGGGTTATTTTAATTGTGCTTTATGGATTATAATAGATTTGAAAATTTATTTTGATGAATACATGTTTGAATCTGTGTTATAGTTCTGAATAAAAGAATGGATGAAGAATACCATAGTGATGTGATACTAAAATGCTGTATAGTGATACTATAAATTTTTTTTAAAAACAAAATACTGGCACCAGTGTGAAAAGGAAAATAATCCAGAAATGAAACAATGTTGGTATAAAGATCTAACTATATATAATCAAAGAAATATACATATCTGTAATGAAAGAAGGGTTGTTTAACAAACTGTGCTAATAGACTTGTAAGTACTTTGGAGTAACATGAATTTCAATTTTTAAAATACATAGTAAAATAATTTCAGAGGGGTTAATGACATTAAAAAATAAAATACTGAAGAATTTAACTGGATACTGTTTTAATTTAAAAAGATTAACTGGAATTGGGGTGTGGCTCAGTAGTAGGTGCTTGCCTTCATCATAAAGCCCCTAGGTTTGATCCCTAGCACTATAAAACAAAGAAATCTAACTATACATTTAGGAGTAGTAAAATAATTTGTAAAGGAGTTGATTGAGAGTAGACTACATAAAAATTTTATGTCATACAGAAATGTAGCCAAAATGAAAAACATGTAACAGAGGGTGAAAATACTTGTAGCAAATTTCTAAGTGTTGAAATAGTCTTCTTAATATGAAACTTGTGTGCAAAAATGTATGCAGACATAGAGCAAGACTAATAATTATGTATGCTGCCGAAGAGAGCTCAAGACTGAATAATTAAATGGAAAGCTCAATAATAACAAACATAAAAAAGTCAATACAAATTAAGCTACTAAGGAATTACCAGGACTCTCCTATTAAATTAGCAACAACTCTCATACTGGCCACAGAAAGTGTGCTATGGAGATACATAGATTGCTAATGATCTTACATACAAAATGACCATTTGCAAACTACTCTTGTGATATGTCAGGATTCATAAAAATCATCATACTTTTTGACCCTGAAATCTCAAAACTGGGAATTGACCCAAATTAGTCTTCTTCTTTTTTTCTGAGCCCATAAACCTAAAGATGTTCACAAAGTTCTTTCAAACAGTGAAAAATGTAACAACATAGATGATTACTATAGGGAAATAATTCAGATATTCATGGTTCCCCTCCTGGAATACTACATAATAATAATTAAAAATATAATACTAATTAAAAATATGGTAATAGGGATTGCAGGTGAACAATGTGATGTGGATAATTTTTTAAAATGAGATTTGAAATTATTATACAAATTTGATGACTGGAAGGAGGTAGATAAAAGTGATAAACAGATAAAGGGACAGGTGATGATTGTTTTTGTAGTGATCCATTTTTATGCTAGGTTGCAGTGGTGTAGACCAAGATCAGGGTGACTAGTAGATCTATATTTTGAGAAAATCATGGCCTTTAGAAATGAGAGGCAACCAATTCTGGTTGTTTTTCTTACACGTATGTAATCTTGACTCTGGTACTTAATCTAAATCTCAATTTCATTATTGAAAAGGAAGCTAATACCTTTTCCTCATGACTGTTAGGTAATTAATAATAACTAGATAGTAGTTACTAATAAACAGTGTTTGCTTCATGTTACATCTAGAACAATCAGTCAATTTATAAGCAAACAATCTCAACTAACAGATTTATTTCTCACTTGTATCGCTACTAAGCTGCAAGTGGCTGTGCTTCTATATTCTCTTTGCTTTGAGATGAAAGGAGAGAGAGAGATGGCAAAGCCACAAAATGGTTCTTAAAATTCTTCTAGAAGCACTGGGCTTCTGTCATATTTCATTGAGTAGAAGGATAGTGTCATTTGCACCGGAGGCATACTCTTTGTGAGTGGGGCAGTGCAAACAGGCAGTGCAAGCTACATGCATGTAGTTTGAACGAATAATTTAATCTGTGACAAAGTATATATAATTTTTGCTATTGCCTTAGTAAGTAAGTGATAATCTGGAGGAATCTAGAGGAGACCAGGCTGGAGATTTCAACCTGAAATAGAGTGGGAAGAGAGTTGATGGAAAGGGAGAGGCGTGTGAAATGCTGTCTCCAGATACTTGAAGAATGCCTGTCACTGGACTCTGCTGAATGGCACCAATGGGTAGAAACTGATTCAGTTTAAGGGCTTAAGTAAGAAAGGGAACAGAAAAAGGAATTTGTGGTGGTTTTAATTATGCTAGTTTGCTTTTATTCTTTTAAATAACCTCAAGGGTTGTGTGTCTGTGTGTTTGTGTGGATTATGTATAAATGTCAGAGAAAATTGACTTTAAAGTGGTAAGTACCTAAGGTCACATCGCGAATAGGTAGCAGACCAGTTTGGAAACCAAGTCTGCGTGGTGTCTGAGTTTTGCGATTCTCAGTTGGGCTGTAAGCCTCCTTACAGTTGAATTGTTCATCACTGATCGTCTTCTGTATGACAAAGTAGTGGCAGCTCCTCCTCCATCACTTATAGGGTTTAAAGTGAACAGAATAGAGTTTGAAGTGAACAGATGGAAAGGTTGAAGGAAAGCTGGGCTCCAAGGTCCTAACTAAATCAGTGATCTGCATATCTCATCATCCACCTCTCAGCAAAATACTTGAGCATATGCCATATAAAGGATTCAGCCCCCCTTTCAGATGATGAAATTGAGGTTAAGAGAAATTACTTTTGTACAACTATCATGTACCTTATAAAGTACAGCAAGTAGAAATTTAAAAAGATAAAAGATTATACATAAAATATCCTAAAATTAGATTTTATGCAAAAGCCTAATTTTATTGTTTTATAGTTAGGTAAATGCTTTTTTATGAATTGTCTCTTGTATACTTACTGGACATACACCACTAGCATTATTGTATGTTTATTGTTTTGAGATCTGCATGCCCTCCTGTGCTAATGAGACCTATTAGGTTTATTGTTTTGAGTGGTTTTTAAGACTCATTTCAGTGTTAAGATTCTATGATTGTTCTGAGTATTTTAGCTTCATTTGTCTTCAAGAAGAATTTACTTGCTTTTGTGATACGAGGGATCAAACCTAAGGCCTCAAGAATGCTGCACTACCACTACCACTGAACTCCACCCCAGTCCCTGAGCAGACTTTGAGGTAGACTGTCTGTAGCCCAAACTACTAAGTGTCCACTGGCATTTTTTTGTAGCAGCAACAAACCCTGAAATCACATGATATGACAGCAATGAGATAATATAGTAGCCATTGTTCGTTCTTTGCTATTTAGTTCTGAAAGCCCTATAATACTTTCATTCTCTTGAATGGTTTTATACTGTTTTGTTATGCTCAACTATTTCAAAGAAAGAGACACTGGTAGTTACTGTTAATTATGGGTTGTCTTGTGGTAAAATGCTGTGTTACTTGCATTGTTCTGATCTGATCTGCTTTGTTATGTTCTCTTGTCTTAATCTCTTTAAAATAAAAAAATTTAAAAAGTGATAGCAAACCCACAAACATTACAGTCTCTATATAAAAGGATATGTAAATAGAGGTTATTATTAAAGTAATAATCCTGATTTCTATGTGCAATGTAAGAAACAGCCTCATTATTTTAGCTATAATCTTCTTTTTGAAATTTCCATGTGTCCAAACTTAATGTAGTCTTAGGTTCTCCAACAAATCTGAAGTTTTGCCTTGAGGGTAATATGAATTTTTATACTTTGGGAAATTACTCTTTAGCACTTTTCTAGAGTAGAATCAAAGTTTTCAATTAGGCTAAACCTACTGATCTATGAAAGTTTTTATGGAGAAAGAGAAATAGTCCCTAAAAAGCAAAGGAGCCATTAACATTACTGGGAAATATGTGTGTCGTCTGTGTGCGAGGCGCCCCCACCCCCATTCTGGTCCTTAGGGATTGGCCATTGCTCTGTTGACGCATGCCTCTCACTATGATTCACAGGACTAGAAGCGTCACCCTGCAGTGTGTTTGTAACATATGTCCTGACTGGTCCTCAGGCCAGGATTTCCTTGGTAATAATTCCTAGGTATCAAGTCAGGTCACAAAAACTTGTGTGGTATATTTAGGCAGGAGATGAATGAACTCACTTGTTTTAAAAAGCAGATACCATCTCACCTTTGTCAGGTTACCTCGCTCAGAAAGCATGTATCTTAAATGGTCTATATTATGCTCCAATTCTGTGTTAAGTAAAATTGTATATTTTTATACAGATGTGCTTTTGGTTGCAAACATTCATAGGATTAATTTTTATTAGTCTTTCTTTGCTTGTGTGTCTTCTGAATTAGAATTGTAATTGTATTAGTTCTGCAATTAGCCATTTTTGTACATCCCTGTTTGTATATTACAACTAACCTATTCTTACTTTTCAGCACTTTAATTGCTTTGTTACCTAGCGTATGTCCTAGTTAATTGTAGATCTCTTTATTTTGCTATTGTCTTCTGTATTGATGAATTTAGAGGCAATTGAAAGAATAATTCTTATCTTCTTTAGCATCAGACAACAGTCAGCGGTTTCGAGAAACCTGTTTTGCGTTTGCCTTGACGCCGCAACAAGTGCAGCAGATCAGTAGCTCCATGTAAGTTGTCTCAAGTGTAACTGTAGCCTGGCTTGTGAGTCTGTGCCGTTATGAGTGATGTAAAAAAAAAAAAAAACAAAAACATTTTGGGTGGGTTCATATTAGTGTCCTACAAATACTAGTACTGAAGTATTGCCAGACATGGTGACACACACGTGTAATCCCAGCACTTGGGAGGGAGGTTGAGGCAGAAGGATCCCCATAAATTCAAAGCCAGCCTGGGTCACAAAATGCTATTGTAGTACAGTGGTGCTTTGGTTCACAAATTTAATTCTTTCCACCATTCTAGTCACATAGCAAATTGGCTGAGAACCAAATCAAAGCCAGGGCTTGGATTCAGTGTTACTTCATGGGGAAATTTGATATGAGTCTTGTCCAGTTTGGTTTACAATCAGAGTTGTGAAAAGAATTAAGTTTGTGAACCAAGGCACAGCTGTATGTTCTTTAAGAACCATTACATCTCTGATAATTAAAAAAAAAAACTTTTCTAGATTATCAGTATCTTTGAATCAGCTTTCATGTGCATATTTTAAAAATAATTGTATTTCTTATTCTGTTTGTTTTAGGGATATTTCTGGGACCAAATGTGACTTCACAGTGCAGGTCCAGTTAAGGTATGATGTTGATTATGTTATCTAGCCAAAGTTTAAAAAATAATTCCCTATAAAGATTAACTTAAAATCTGCCCAATTTTCAGTAAATGTATTTTAAGTATTGGGTTTAGATCATTGGAAAAGGAAAACATTGTCCTGTTATGGGATATTATAATTTTTATCCAGTTTATGACAAGTCATGTGTTACATATTTACCTACTTTTTTATTATAGTAGTCAGCTCTTAGAGCAACTTTTGTGTGAGGAGGAGCCTTACACATATACAAGGCAAACTGCCATAGATGAAGAACTGGTACTAAAGTCTGCAGCATCGTAGGGACTAATAAACACCAAATAGCCTAGTGGTTTTTCCTTCCTTCCCTCTTTCCTTTCCCCTCCCTTCTCTTCCCCTCCCTTCCCCTTTTTCATTCACACTAGCAAAGTTTTTTATTTTATTTTATTTTTTAAGAAGTACACTGTACAGAACTAGTTTTGGCAAAGTAGAAGTGGGAAAGAAGTACACATACGGGCTGGGGATTTAGCTCAGCGGCATAAGTGCCTGCCTTGCAAGCAGGCAGTCGTGAGTTCGATCCCTGGTACCGATAAAAAAAAACGAAAAAGACAAAAAAAAAAAAAATTAAAAAAAAAAAAAAAAAAGAAGTACACATATATAGTATGAGGGTGGGCTGCTGTGCAAGAGAGTGGCTTATCCTTTGTTTTAAATTGCAACCCATTAGACTCATCTAATTTTCAATCTGTATAAGACCATCTTTTGAATGTTTTCAGTGGTAAAGAGAAAAATTTTCAACATAGGTTCATAGCTACACTTCATTTCTTTGGATATCTACTGTCTTTATGTTAATATATCTCTGTCTTTTCTATATAAACTGATTTTATTCTGCTCCAATTATTGCATGACTGTCTATGTACAAACTTAAGTATTCTACATTGTTTTTGTTGGATTAGACAGTAGAAGCGGAAATAAAAAGACAATTGTTTTCCTGAGTAAGATATTTTTCCTGTAGTGTGGAGAAGTCAAATTAGTCTTCAGAGTCAGGTCTACTCAGTTGTATGTACAAATTATAAATACAGTATTAGATTACAAAAGAAAGTACCAGCCTCATTCTTCATAGAACAGTATGAACACCTCTGATTTAGGCTTAAAAATAATGAGGTAAAAGCAATGAGAAAAGAAAGGAGAGGCTGAGTTGAAGATTCTAAGAAGAGTATAAATACACTTACTAGCTATATGATACCTTCCCCAGGGGACCAGTGGTAATGTAAGTCTTGGTTTTGGAAAGCTTTGTATAGATGGTACAGTTCACCATCCTCTATGAAGGGCACTTTGTGATAATGATTGAGTGAATTAATTATAGGACCAAAATATGTCACTATACTCAATCAAACATTACATGATCTTTTGAACTTTTTTCAACCATTTGTTTTACATTTTGTATGTACTTACAAGTGGCATTATCTTTTTTTTCCCCCCTTTGGTTTTTGCTTATAATATTGGGGAGTAAACCTAGGACCTTTATGCTGAGTAATATCCTCAGCCCTTTTTAGTTTTCATTTTGAGACTGTCTCCTGATAAATTGCCCAATCCGACTTTGAATTTAGAATCCCCCTCACTCAGCTTCCTGAGGAGCTGGGATTGTAAGCCTGTGTGCCATGCCTCGCTCACAGTGCATTTTAAACAGGAACTTGTAGCTCCATGAAATGGCAAGAGGAAGTGGCTACAAAATTGTTACTGTACAACAGTTAGTTTTATGTGATTACCACTTGTGTTTGTTTACATTCTGTGGGCTGAATATGATGCCATGTACAACATGTGTGTGCATAAGTTTTGATAAATTTTTACTTTCCATAATTTGTGTGTATTACATGATGGTCAGTGATAAAATAGACTACTTCCTACGTATATTTTATGCATTAAGAATCTGTTCTTTTAAGGCACTTTGGGCCTCACCTGTCTAATTGGTTTGTCTGCAAATTCTTACAGATCTCCAGTGAGAGAAAGAAAATGTATCAGTATATATAGACCTGTGTGCACTTCAGATCTGTGTTGCTCAAGGACCTACTTCTGTATTTTAAACCTGTTTGCGCATGCTTAATCATTATAGAAAATGTCTTTTTTTTTTTTTTTTTTTTTTAGTAATTTTTCCCTTTTGGGTTTGTTTTAAAGTTGATCATCTTTTAGTAAACTATTGACAAAAATATTAATGAAGTTTTAATGAAATTATTCTTTAATAAAGGAAATTAAACTTGACCTTTATCTGTTAGGTTTTGTTTATCTGAAACCAGTTGTCCACAAGAAGATCACTTCCCACCCAATCTTTGCGTGAAAGTGAATACAAAACCTTGCAGCCTTCCAGTAAGTCCTAAAAGCTGGTTTTTAAGTATGTTACCAACATAACTGTCTAACAAGTCATTGCAGCTGTTGTTAATCTTAAGTTTTTCATTAAGAAAACAGTTTTCTTTTGATATGCATTCATGTCTGGCTGTAGCATTGGCATCAATTGAGTACAGTTAGCAGCTGTGATATTAGTTAGGATTTTGAGTTGGTTGTGGTAGATTTGATGCCGTGCAGGATTTTATGGTGAAAAAGTTTCAGTGAAATCTCAGCTGTGTGCATGTGACACTTTAAGATTGTAGTAGCATGTAGATTTGAACTAAGAGGAAACTGTCTTTGTCACCTTGAAAATATTCCTTATATACTCATCTCATTTGTTTAATTGAGAAATTTTGAATTTCTATTATTGATATTTTCTTTAGGCTTTTTATAATGAAATTATAAGGTTGTTTAGAGAAATAATAACACAGGAAACTTAGAAGTATTCGCTGTGCTTTGAATGAAAACATTCATATTTTCTACTTTGTAAATGGTAGGAATTTTTTAAAAAATGGAAATCAAAGTGATTGAAATTGAAGTTGAATGATATTATTTCTTTTTAGGGCTACCTTCCACCTACTAAAAATGGTGTGGAACCAAAGCGACCCAGCAGACCAATTAATATCACTTCACTTGTCCGATTGTCTACAACTGTACCAAATACCATTGTTGTTTCTTGGACTGCGGAAATTGGAAGAGTGAGTACATTTCTGTTTCTACCAGATTTTTGTATTGTAAAGGAGGGTTGATCACCATGGCTACCTTGAGTATATATGTAAATGATACTGTAAAATAAGTTACAAAGGGATTTTTATCTTGTAGTGAATTTTCAATATGTTCCCATTTAAAAAATGGGGTCATGTGGTACCCAGTGTTTTATAACGTGATCCTTTAACTCAGCAGTTTATCATAAATGTCTATGTTATCACCAGTTCTGCATTATTTTATATAGCGACATCATATTCCAATATGAATATGCCATTACTTAGCTATTGCTGAGCACTTATTTGATCTGCTGATTGATTTATTCATTGCAACTGCAAAGAACATTTTGAAGACCACTCTAGTAGCTATAGCTTTGCATACATACACAGTAATACCCTTACTAGAAATTCTCCAAAGTAGAATTGCTGAGTAAAAAGCATGCAGAGTTTTAAGAAATATTGTATATATTTGACAGATTGCTTTCTCAAAAGAGGTGAAAATTTATTCTCTTCCAGTGTTTATTTGCATGCCTATCAACACTGTTCTCTTTCAAAAAGTTTTTAGCAATTTTACTAGGTAAACAGTGGTATCACTCCAATAAATAATCCTTTCATTGTTATTGAGACCAAACATATTTTATACCTGTACTATCTGCATTTTAAAATTGTGTCCATCTTTCTTTGCTGCTGTTTTTCTTCCTGTGAGTTCTTCATGTACGCATTAAGAATTAACCTGTTGGATATATGTCTCAGTTACTTTTTTCTTATTGCTGAGACAAAATTCTGACACTCAAAGTTAAAGGAGGAAAGGTTTATTTAACTCAGTTTGTAGAGGTTTCAGTCCATAATTGGCTAGGTCCAAGGCAGAGAGGCTTGGCAGAAGGGCATACCAAAAGTGAAACAGTTCATAGTGGCAGAAGACAGCAAAAACAACTAGGAAGAGAGATAAGCATCTTTCTTTTTTGTTTTTTATTTACTGTGTCTTACTGTGGTCCTCCTGTGTAGTTCAGGCTAGACTTGAACTCACTTTATATAGCCCTGGCTGACCTCAAACTCACAATAAAACTGCCTCAGCCTCTCAAGTGCTAGGATTACAGGCTTGCACCACCCTCCCGCCCCCCTGCATAGACAAGCCTCTTTCTGTCCCTTACATTATATCCAGTCTAGCAAATTAGGGCAGTATCAGTCCAGTGGACTGATCTAGTAGTTAACCATCTTTAATCCCAGTGCATGCACTACAGAGAAGTCTAGATTTAACTAGTTCTATTTTTTTTTTTTGTCCTTTTCATTTTTATTGGTACCAAGGATCAAACTCACAACCTCCTGCTTGCAAGGCAGGTGCTTATGCCACTGAGCTAAATCCCCAGCCCCGATTTAACTAATTCTGAGAAAAGCCCTATGACCCCATGAGATATTGGGGGAGCACCTAGACACAAACCTTAACAGTGTAGTAGCATACACCTGCAATCTCAGCCACTTGGAAGGATGAGGTCATCTGGGTAGCATGGCAGGACCTTGTCCCTCCCCCACCAAAAAAAAAAGAAGGCAGAAAAAAGAAGGTGGAGGGAAGAGTTAATCTCTTAATACATGTTGCAAATATTTGTTTCTACTTTGTTAGACTTGTTTTTATTCGTATGATTACTTAATATGTAAAAGATTAAATTATCACAGACCCAGATCTTAACCAGTTTTTCCCTTTGTGATCTTTCCCTTTCTCCCCATCTCATGTAGTCTTTCTGCCTTTCCCCAGCTAGACTTACAGACTTTCAAGAGTTCATGTTTTACCTTTAAATATTTCTTCTTGGATTTATAGGTTGTATGACATTAAAAATTAATTTTTATTAATTTATTATTTAATTATTTAATTAACTTAAATAAATACTGATTCTGAAGCTACCATTATTCTCTATTTAATTTTTATATATCTTGGATATGTTCCTGAATTCTTTCCAAGCCAATTTTTTTTAAGTTGTAGTTTTCAAATAGTTATAGTCTGGTAATATTAACTCAGATCTATTCTTTATTGAATGGTTTACTATGTGCCATGTACTATACTCTATAAACTTGGATGTAGCATAGGGAGACAAGTCCTTGTTCTCATGAGGCCTGTGATCTAGGCACTTAGTAGTTACATACAACTTACGAAGCACTATACAGAGTGCATCATGACTCTAGAGTGGTATTTTTTTCCCCTCACTTGTCTTTTTTGAGACAGGGTCTCATTATATAAAGTTCAACCTAGCCTTGAATTCACTTGTAGCCCAGCCTGACCTTGAACTCATGGCAGTCCTCCCAACTCAGTTTCCCAAGTGCTGGGATCACAGACATGTGCCATCACACACTGATTCTAGAGTGTATTTTAAAGAGTCTATATTAAAGAGAGACGTAAGGAAAGGCATCCATGTGGAAGTACTGACTGGACCAGCAGTGGAGAGAAAGGTAGGACTTGGTTAGCTAAACAGCATAGAAGAAACAGCCTGAACAGTAGCCAAGCAGTGGGAACTAGTCTGGTTATCTTCAAGAAGTTGAAAGAGCCATTACAACTGGAACACAGAAAGTATGAAAGAGCCGAGTGTGGTAGTGTGTGCCTGGAATCTCAGTGCTTGGGAGGCTGAGGTGGGTAGATCGCTGAGAGTTTGAGGACAGCCTGAGCTACAAAGTGAGTTCAAGGCCAGGCTGGACCACATAGTGAGACTCTGTCTTAAAAGGAGAAGAGACGGGGAGAAGGGGGAGAAAAGGAGAAAGAGAAAGAACAGTAGGTAAAGTGGGCCTGGAGAGGTAAGGTAAGGCTAACTCGTGTGTACTAGTGGGTACTATTAACATAAAGTGTCTTCTTTCTAATGGAGAAGGTTTACAAGGCCTTCTGTTTCTGTTTAGGTAAAAGCCCTCCTTAGAGTAGGAAGTAGTTTGCATGGAGGCAGAGTCATGCAGTCGTGGCCTCCTGGGAGCCAGCTGTACAGAAGTATCAGTGAGTGAATTGGTGTCTCAGCCTAGAGTGGTGGCATTGAGGTGATGTTAAGTAGGAGTATCTGCAGGATTAGGTGATGGTTGGAAATGGGGGGGACATGTGAAGGGGGAGGTGACATGGATGACTCCGTGACTTCTGGGTTGGGCAGCTGGATGAGTGATATTCCACTGAGAGGAAACACTGAGTTCTGTGTATTTTATTCTGTTTTGCTTTGGAGGAAGGAGCATTGAAGAGAGCTGAATGGAGGAAATGGCGAGTCCAGTTTCAAAGTTTTTGAGTTTGAACTGCCTTTGAAACATCCGGAATAGGCAATTGGGTACATAGACTGAGAGGATAAGTTTGGGCTAGAGAAAAACTGTGGATCATCTGCATGTTAGTGGTTATTGGCACTGCACAGACAGGGCCCACGTTGCTCAGATGGAGTGTGTCAAAGGGGAAAGGAAAAAAAAGAGTGCCCGAGACCTATCCTTGAGAAACCATAGCAGCCAATGCTGAGGAGCCGAAAATGAGCCTGCTGCGTTTGTGAGCAGTGAGAAGAGTGCGGGGAGGGTGGGTCTGAGAAGTAAAACTAACAGTTTCAGAACGGAAGGAAATGGTTAGTATTGTTGAGCAGGTGTTGAGAGGTCAAGTATGTCAAAGACTTTAAAGTAGGAACAGGAGTTAGGAACGCAAAGGTGGTTTAGTGTGAGCTATTTTGCTAGATTGTGGGCAAAGCCAGTTGGGATAAACTGGAATTTGAGGCAGTAGAGATAATAGATGACAAAAAAAAATGGCTTTGGGAAGACTTAAAGGTGGCCAGGAAGGGAGTGTGAGATTATGAGAGTTGTTCTGGTAAAGCGTTTATAAGAGGGTGGCAGGGATCTTCTTAAGTAAGAGGTTGGCTGTACAAGGGATAATTGAATAGCAGAGCTGACGGAACTCGTAAAGCCAGGTCTCACAGCTTCTTAGAATGGATTGGATATTCTTAAAATATATTAGATGAGTATATAGATTTGGCAGAATCAGTTCTGGTTTAATGACTTATATCTACAAGATAGCAAGTGTGAGTAAGTTGGCTGAGAGTGAAGCAAGAGATGGGGAGAATGGGAAATAATTTGTTAGGGTGAGCATGCTCCCCAGATTCACCTCACATTTTGTTCTTCCATATGAGCTGCAGAGTTTCTTTACCACATTTCCTTTCCTCTTTTCTCCTCCCCAATGCTACATCTTTTCTGAGAATTTGGGTTAGATTTCTCTAAAGTTATAGATCAAGTTAGGGAGAGTTTGTTTATTTACAGTGAAATATACCCATTCCAGGAATAATACTTTGTGTTTACTTAGATCCTGTTCTATAGTCACTAATAATTTGATAGATTTTTGTTGTTTTTAAAAAAATCCCTTGTTGGTTATTATTGTTACTGCTATTGTCAATAGTGCTTTTAAAATTGTTTTATAAAGTATTTATTCCCTGTATTAGTTTGAGGAGATTTGTATTTGATTTCTTGAGATTCTATGTAGGTCATTTGAAGTTTGAATGTATCATTAGCAAATACCAATAACCTAATGCTTACTCTGTTATTTCTTGTTATGCTGTTTAGCACTTTCTAAACATTGTTAAATAACCAGGTACTAGTGAACATATTTGACTCATTCCTTCTGTGGGAAGAATCCTGCCACCATTACAGCATTAAGTATTATAGTGACTGTTAGTTTTTTATAGAACTTACCATGTCAATGATGTTCTTTCTGTATTTCTCTTCTACTGAATTTCATTGTTCAAAATTGATTTTGAATTTCATAAACATCCTTTTGACATCTGTTAGGATTATTTATGCTTTTCCTTTAATTCATTGTCACCTTCAGATTATAAAAATCCTTATGAATGTTTTAATAGTATGCCTTGGAATTCTTTCCCTGCCCTCTTTTGAAGAGAGAGTTGAAAACGTTTGGTTTTTGTGTATGAAGACTGTAGCCCCACATGGAAGGAAGGGGGTGTTCCCAGTGAGACTCAAGAAGGCCTAAACCTGGAGGGGGGGGCGCTGCTGTTACTGATTGACAGTGTGAGAGTGGAAGGGAGAAGGTGTTCCAGGAAAGGCTTCCAAACTGCTGAGACCTGACATCTACAAGTTGGTCACCGTTTGAAAAGAAACATTGAGCTTTTGGAAGAAAATTATTATTTTTTTTTTCCCCCTGGGGATTGAACTTGTAAACTTGCACTAAGAAAATTACTCTTTTAAAAGATTATCCTTTTGCTAGGGGCTGGAGGTTTAGCTCAGCCGCATAAGTGCCTGCCTTGGAAGCAGGCAGTCGTGAGTTCAATCCCTGGTACCTATAAAAAGGAAAAAGACCAAAAAAAAAAAAAAAAAAAAAAAAAGATTATCCTTTTGCAAAGCCCAGAAGATAACTGATTATTTTTAGATTACTATTTTAATTCAACTTGTAAAGATATACTGAATAGTTCATGTAGAATGTTGTGCGTATCATTTTGATTGGTTACCGTTAAGAAATACTGTAAATTTATCTTTTCAAAGATAATAAGTAGGAGAACTAGCATATCATCTGAGAGAAATAAATGAGCTATAATGTCTACTTCATAGTAATCACTGCATTTAGCATTTATTAAATGGTCAGTATTTGTAGAGAAATTATTTAGATACTGCTGTACAGGGTGAGATTACATTTTAAATGTGGTGAAAGTATCTTACTTGGTAAATAATTTTGAAGGCTATTGAAAAAGCAATTGGCAAAAAAATAACAATGTAGTACAATATATATCAGAGTTAGGTAGGACTTTAAAGAATTAGCAAGAAATTATAATACCTACCTAGAAGACATACTATGCCACTATTAAGTTTTGGGAATTTTTTGTTAAACCTCTTTCCAGAGATAGAAAATTCCATACTGTCAGTGCAAGTGGCACATATTAATACCTAGCATTCTTTTTGCTGCTTTTTTTCTTTTCTTTCTTTCTTTCTTTCTTTCTTTTTTTTTTTTTTTTTTTTCTTCTTTGGTTACGTGTTTCAACTAGAGTGAACATACCTTTTTCACTGAACTTCTTGTTGTGGTTTTTACTTGATCTCTTCTTAAATATTTATGTAAAGCCTTAGGGTAATTCCAAGTTCTAAAAATTCAAGCTGTCAGTACAGAATTTCTCTGTGTTAATTTCTTCAGTTTCTATTATATTTGAAGCATTAAGCAAGTCAGTAATAATGGTGAATGAGGCATTCTTTTCCCCAAGAGAAGCTTATGAGCTCTCTATTAGATTAATACGTTTTGGGCTCTAAAATTTAGGAATATTTTAAGGTTATTTATTTCTCCTTAATATACTGAGAAATTTAGCAGTGAGGCAAAATTTATTTTGTTGGTACCTTATTTTTTACTCCCAGAAAACATGTAGCATGTGAACATGGATAGATTTCTGAACTTTAAATGAAAATATGACCAATAGGATATTTTACGTTGTTGCCAGCAGGTGAATACACTGTCAGAAGTGTGAAAGAAAATGAAAGAATGGCTGTCAGACCAGGCCAGGAGAATCAAACAAGTAAAAAAAGCAAAAACATGTGAAAAAAGGAATTATCAAGAGCTTCACTGGCCTTGATCATTAAGTCCCTTGTCCTGCATCCCTGCACTTTTCTCTTGGTTTTGGGTGCCTGCTGTGTTCAAGCAGTTGCAGGATCATAAACAGATTATGTAATCTTTGGTGCCTGAGCAAGATTTCTCTTTTTCTGTCTGTCTGTCTGTCTGTCTGTCTGTCTCTCTCTCTCTCTGGTATAGGGGATCGAACTCAGGATCTCACGGTTGCCAAGCAGGTGCTTGTGCTGCTGAGTTAAACCCCCAGCCATTCCTGAGCAATTTTAATCAACCCGTTACCTACAGTAGTACCTATCATTTTCTCTCATATCTCCTAGGCCTCTGCCAGCTTGAATGGAGTCGTTGACAGTACTGTAAATATAAAGAATGTATTGAAAGCTGTATGTAGCTATGAAATACAAAATAGTAGTGATTATTTTTCTTTTGCTTCTTTTCAAATTTCTTGGTGTTCCTCTTGATCCCAATGGAAAGTGATCCTTTCTTAGGTTGCTGTCCCCTGTCCCAGCTTTCTTAAGTCTCCGCCCTCTATTCTTTACTCCCTGGCTATTCTTCACTTCCCTGGCTTGGTATCTGTTTTCATTGTTCCTTTCTCTGGCTACTGTTTCTGAGTATTCCTTCTGATGGTAATGGATAGTTATTAATCTTTTCTTGACCAAACTAGCAACTTCTCTTTGCAAATCTTCTAAGTTGTGATCATGACCAAGTGGTCTCTTCAAGAACTAGTAGAAGCCATAAAGGTTAAAAAGTGTAGTTTAGAAAGCCAATCTCACTTAGAATTTATCTGTTACCTTACTACACAGTTTGTGATTTGTGATATTTTGGACATCTTCATGACAGTGGTTTGTGTTTAGTCATTAACAGTATTCTTTCTTGTTAGTACCTTAAATTCATTAACTTGAATTATTTCCTGGTAGTCAGGAATTATAGATGTGTAGCAGACCTGGATATCCATTCTAAACTTTTCACTCAGAAGCTATAAAATTAAGGCAGATTCTGCTACTCCTTCACATTTCAGTTTTCTCTCACCTATAAAAATAGATTTGTGATCACCTTAGTAGTTCTCTGATCAGAATTAAATGAATTGTTATTCATGAAAACACCCATGACAGTGTATGACACACAGTAAATGTTTTAAGAAATGGTTTCTTTCCTGTTGCTGTGGGTTTGAAATAGATACTCTATTTACTTGCATATGTTGTTTATTTTCTACATTTTTTTTCCAGACCTATTCCATGGCAGTATATCTTGTAAAACAATTGTCCTCAACAGTTCTTCTTCAGAGATTACGAGCAAAGGGAATAAGGAATCCGGATCATTCTAAAGCTTTAAGTACGTATGATAAACTTATTTCATTTATGCAGCTAAATTATTTTGTTAAAGGGTAGAATAGTGTTTTCTCAATACCAGAAATTTTTGCATTAAAAAAATTTTTTTTACTAGAGCCTGATGTAGAGGATTTAAAACTAAAACTAGTTTTAATGCCTTTATCATGAACTATTATTTCATAATCTATACTGATCTTAAAATTAACTTCTATAAAGTCACTTGTTCAACATAGAAAAATATAACTCCATAAAATAATTGTGTAAGGAATTTTAGGGGATGACCTGGAAATCTCAAGAAAATTATTTTATATTTGCAGATTATATTAGATCCATAAAAATGTACAGGCTATATGAAGACCACATCTGTGGATTGCCAGAGTTTTAAAAAGAGTCCGTGAGGCAGTAGAAATGATAAGAAAGTGGTTTGGCTGTTAAATAATTATGAGACCTTGGAAAAGTCTCTTTCCTAAATGTCTTGCCCCACCCATACATAGAGGTTTGTTGTCACATGCAGCTTCTACAGCATTGTGGAAGTCTCGGTTCACACAGGTGTGAGTTACTGGATGGTTTGTTTTGATGTGTTCAATTTGAAATGCAAGGTTTGCAAATGAACTTATTTACTGGCCTCAAATTTGGGGGTCAGTGGCCTTTCCCATGGGGTAAGTGAAGTTGTTTCATTATTCTCTTCTTTGTGACATAAGTTCTTCATAGATAGATTTAGGGATGAAGACTCAGTGTTCAAGGAGAAGCAACATTTTTACAGGCAGGGTTAGATAACTGTCCTTCGAGTATCTTGATGTGTGTTGAGTAAAGCCCACTACTAGGTTTGTAGTTAGAAACATTCTGGTGTAAAGAACTAGCTAGTGAGGCCAGCTTTCTTTTCATTTCTTATATCATAGCTTTAATCCTTTTCTCTAACTTATAACTTCCAACCTCTAACTGCCAGAGTAAAAGATTCCACTGCTCTGAATAACAAGACATCTTTAACTGTTCATTGAAAGATTGGTCTATATTAATAGGGTCCTCTTAAAATTGAAAAGAGCCAGGCAAGGTAGTACATACCTATGGCTCCAGTTACCTGTGGTCGGAGACTGAGGTGAATGGATTACTTGTGCTCAGGAGTTCAGGAGCAGCCAGTGCAGCATAGTGAAACCTGTCTTAAAACAAAAACCTTGAGTCAAAGCGGAGCATTAGCAGGTAGAGAGCTAGAGTGATGCGAGTGTTTGTGGGCCAGAGTTAGGAACAAGCACCCTTTGGCCAGACCAAGAGATAGCAGGGACCCAGAAAGCAGAGTAGGCAAGACAGCTGGCCTTGAAGGAGAGGGTAAAAGAGGAACTTTCTTTTTCATGATCTTGCTGAAGCTGTTCCTCGGCATTCCAGTGACACCTGCCTCGCTGGATGAAGGAAGTAGAATCTTTGCTAGTCAGAAGTATTGTGGGATTATAGTAGCTTGTGTAGAAAAGGGAAGAGCAAGAAATCAGGTAGATACAGTGGTTGTATTTAACAAGAAGCAAGCTGTCTGCATGAGCTCGACTGTTTGCCACGCGTAGCTGTAGCACCACCTGGAGGGAGAGTGGGAAGGTGAACCTGGAATTTCATTTTCTCTAAGAACGAATCATTGTTGGCTGCTGCTAAGCATCGAAACCCGCTGAATTCACAAGCTGTTTATTTTCCACAATGATCTACGGCTAGATGTAGACACTATTGCCCATAGGGTGAGATTTTTATGGCAGTTTATATCTTATCCAGTGGCCAGGGAATACCAATGAAACATTAATTTGGATTCCACCAGTAAGGAATTTATTGTAATCAGCTGTGTGTCATTCAGCTTCATTTATGTTTAAAAAAACAAAATTTCCAACGATGGTGTAATTAAAATATTTAAAATAACTTGATGAAAGAAAATGTTATCAGTTATCTTAGATATTTTTGATGAATTAAATTACTTATAAATAAATTCTATTGGCAGTGTTTCTGTCTGTTCAGTCAGTCACTGTTACGTACTTGAAAGAATAAAGTTGATGTATTTAAACTTATAGAGATACCCATTCTGTGATTCACTTGACTTAGTGGATTTTTCTTTTCTTTCTTTCCTTTTTTTTTTTTTTTTTAATCCTGTGACTCCACTTTTATGTAGCATCCTTTAACTCTTAGGTTACTCTTTTCTCTCACTTCTCCCTTTCGTAGTTACTTCAGGCTTCCACCCAACTTTTCAGGCACTATCCTCCCTCACAAAGCACACTGTTAGTACAAGAAAACAGGGCAGAGGCTGCGGCAAGAGGATCACCGTGAGTTTGAGAACTGCCTGGTGTACCTAGCAAAACCCTGTCTCAAAAAACAAAAACAAATCAAAAAAGGGGGGAAAAGTGGATTTCTGAGACTGCCTGTTTCTTCCTTATTCTGGAACCACCATGATTACTTTTCAACTTAACTACATTTGTACCCATTTTCACCTTATTCCCTATAGTATCAGGAGTAAATGTGTCTTTTCCTGCTCAGAGTTCAACTCATTCATTCTCATTGAAGAAATCAAGAGTTTTCCAATATTCCAGGAACAGAAGACTATGGCATTAAACAAAAGATGCACAGTCTCCATGGAGCTCTCAGAAGTGCGAGTGTCATGGGAAAGACAGGCATTAAATACTCATATGAGTTGCTAATGCATTACAGTTGTGACATATGCCTTTAAGAAGAGAGATAGAGAGCTTTGTACAATGGTAATGTAGTCCTCTCTGGTACCATGATGATCAAGCAGGATTGTAAGGATGTGTCTAAGGATGTAAGGATGGGGAGGAGTTAGCTCCATGATAAGGGCTCATTCCAAGATTAAGGCTGGTAAAGCTGGAACAGAGAGCACAGAGGAGGGAAATGACCAGAGAAATAGACAAGTGTAGATTCATATAGATGTAAAGCCATAAAAAGATTTTCTTCAGGGATAAACGGGGTGCAGTGCTGGGGATCAAACAACTCAGGGCCTCATGCATGCCAGGTAACTGCTTTTTTTTTTTTTTTTTTTTTTTATTTTGAAAGTATACAACAGAACAAGTCAGAATAAAGCCAACTAAGATTGTACAGTGAAATTGGTACAGAACTTCACAGCAGGTTATCGGGATAACAGTAATAAGTATCACAGTATATTTTGTTATCTTTATAATAGTTGTTCTTTCAATCCCATATATCAAAATGAGATGAAATATAGAACACCATAGAACTTATCAAAACAGAATATTGAATAGAGCAGTACCATTAATCAGAAAAGAGCAAAACAGTAATAAAAATATTTGTCTTCAAAGAAATGGTAGAAGGAAGTCCCCCCTTATTTGCTATGGTCAGCCTCCCAGGAGATGCTCAAATTTCTGGTTCCCATTTGCTAATGGGCGGGGGGGAGGAGAAGGAGGATATGGGAAGTGGGATATTTGACTCTAGGCCATGTAGCAGTAGGTTCACTATTGCTAAGCAGGGAGGCAGGATGGTCATTTGTTTTCCCAACGTCCTCAGTTCCAACATGGCATGGATCTCAGGAGACACTGCTAGTTCTCCCCCTGGAAGGGCTGCCGTGGACCACACTACCACCGCTTACCAGGGAGGGGAGGTGCTTGCTTGGCTTCCCAGAGTCCTAAGCTCCAACATGGCCTAGATCTCAAGAGACACTGCTAGTTCTCCCCCTGGAAGGGCTGCAGTGGGCCACACTGCTGCCGCTTACCGGGAGGGGAGGTGCTTGCTTGGCTTCCCAGAGTCCTAAGTTCCAACATGGCCTGGATCTCAGGAGACACTCCAGGTAACTGCTTTTTAACTTAGCCAATTCCTAGACACCATTAAAGGATTTCTAAACATAAGAATAAAACAGAAGTTGAAAGATTTTTGTTTATTTTGCTTTGTTTTGTTTTTGGTCTTTTTTTTTTTTTGTCTTTTTCCTTTTTATCGGTACCAGGGATCGAACTCACGACTGCCTGCTTGCAAGGCAGGCACTTATGCTGCTGAGCTAAATCCCCAGCCCCCTGTTTTTGGTCTTTTGAGACAGGGTCTTGCTATGCGGTTCAGGCTGTCCTTGAGCTCACTTGTAGCACAGGCTGGTCTCATAGAAGTTGAAAGTTATGAGAAACGTTGAAAGGTAGACATTATATGGATGATGTATGGTGAGTGAAGGAAAAGGAGGGGACAGGGGGATGAGTTCTTGACTTCATCAGCACCAGGCGACATATTAGTGCCATTTACTGACATGGAAAACTTGTAGAAAGATTAGGTTGCAGAGGGGAGATCGTAGTGTAAAGAGTTACACTTGGCAGTACTTTGAGATGTGACTAGACTTCAGGCGCCAGTGCTCAGAAATGGTATGAAGAGACCCGATGTCTTTACTTACTGTCCCTTGCCCTGTGTTTCCAGTCTCTTCCTTTCTACTGGCTCTTCGTGACACCCCTTCCTGTCAAGTCTCTCTCATCCAGTAATAATAGGAAAAGAAGCCCCTCTGTAGACAGAGCTCCCTGCTCCTTCTGTTCTCATCCACTTTCTTCTAGGAGTAGAGCACGTGTGCTTTGTATCGCCTTCCTGCAGCTCTTTATGTATGGTCTTTTCTGACCCACATAGTTTCACTGAAATTGCTCTTGCAGTTGTCACAAGTGACAGTCTGATTGCCAAATATAAAGTTTTATCCTTTTAGTTTTTATTATGAATGTTTCTGCTGTCTTTGATACCAACCACTTTCTCCTTGAAATTCTCTGTTCTTCTCTGACCATTCTTTGTAGACACTTAGTCTTTAATGGGCTGTCTTAAGAGAAGCATGCTAAATGTTGGTATTCCCTGGAGTTCCATCCTTGGCCCACTTTGCTGTACTTTCTCTGTAGACAGTCACATCTGTTCTTGCTGTTTCAACTAGGAATAGCTTTCAGATAAACCTATATTTTTCTCAGGTCTTTACCCTGAACTTCAGATTTATATGACTGACTACCTTCACTTAACCATTTCACTGGTTCCTCAAATTCAAATATTTGAAATGAAACTCACAAGTCCTATCAAACTGACACTTTAAATCAATTTCCATCATTGCCCCCACTTAAACCCTGTGTTCTGGCTTTCTTTTAAAAATATATTCTTAATATGTGTCACATGTCTCCCTCTCCCACCCCCCTCCTCTAATTTCTCTATCTCTGTCTCTATCTCTATCTCTGTCTCTGTCTCTATCTATCTCTATCTGTCCTTTCTTGATTCTCCATATCCCTCCCTGGAAGCAGTATGACTTACCATGTACTTTTCCGATCTTGTCATTCCCTTCTGTTTCTTGGCTCTACCACCACTGGAATGAAAGAGCTTCAACTTTTTTAGCATGACATTTTGCTTTTCCTGATGTGCCACCTGCTTATTGCTTCCCAGCACAATTTGTTTTCGTTCTTCTCAATGTTTTTTACATTCCAAAAATGCGTAATTCTTTTCTTTTCCTTAGTGCTTTAGAATTGTTCCTGTACCCAAACCTCGCAGTTATCTCCTTTGCCTAACATTAATTATTCTTTGTGTTTTACTTCGTCCAGGCGGCATCTGGAACCCTCTGAATAGTTGATTTTCTATTCTTTTTTGTAAACAACTTCCAGCAGAGCATGTTAGAGATATGCTTACTGTGACTGTGAGCTCTTTTTGACTAGGTATTTGATTTTTTTCCTTTTACAATTTCTGTTGCTCAGCATGATGCTGTACACATAGTAGATCCTCAGGTTTTTCTTGAATTTAACTGATAAAAAGAGGTCTAGAATAAAAGTCATGTCTGGGCACCTCTGTTTCCTTGCCTAGAAAAATGAATGTTGAGCTTGATATGTTTGGTTGTTTCCAGCCTTAAAATTCTAAACGGCAGAACTAAAATAATCTTTATTTAGGGAAAGATAGGAATTATTTTAGAACAGTAACAATCCTAGAATAGCACTAACTAATAAGCTGTCTGTAATGATGGAAATGTTCTATATCTATGCTGTTCCATATGGTAGTCACAGGAACATATGGCCATTAAGTCCTTAAAATGTGGCTAGTGCAACTTAAGAACTGAATTTTAAATTTTCTTTAAAATTATTTAATTTAAATTTAAATATAGCCTCATGTGACTAACTCTGGTAGCTTATAACAAGAAAGATTTTTTTAATAAAAAGGTTACTGGACTGGTGATTTAGTTCAGTGGTGTATGTACCTGCTTGGCAAGTGCAAGGTCTTGAGCTCAATCCCCCAGTACAGAACAAAAAAACAAACAACAACAAGGTTGCTTTTTATCATGCTTACGTCTTTATTAGAGGCTGTATAATAAAATACTGTTACCGTTGTGGATATGGTAACACAGAAACTTTTAATTCCCAGAGGACTTACCATATTTATTATCTTCTCACTATTCACTTGGGTTAATTATTTGTATATTGTGTAAGGTGATTTTTCCCTCTTACAGATACCCAGTTGTTCCAACTCTATTTGTTGAAAAAACTGTGTTCCCCATTTAATTATGTTGGCACTTTTGTCAAAAACTGATTGACCATGGATGTATGAATATACTTACTATTTTTCTTCTTTTCCATTGACCTGTATATCTGTCAATCTTTATGGCAATAAAGTATCTTTATTACTATAGCATGATAGTAAGCCTTGAAATCAGATTGAGTCCTCCAACCTTTTCTTTTTCATATGGTAATTTAATGTGTAAAATAATAGTTAACCATATCCAGACAGTTTATTTCAGGATTACTAAGTTGATTCACCATTTAAAAGTTAATCAGTGTCATTTACCTTTTTACTACCTAAAAAAAGAAAATTCATATAGCCATCTCTGTAGATGCAGAAAAAGCAGTTGAAGGGCTGAGAATTTAGCTCAGTGGCGTAAGCACCTGCCTGGCGAATGTGAGGTTGTAAGTTTGATCCCTGGTACCAAAAAAAAAAAAAAAAAAAAAGGAAAGAAAAAGCAGTTGATCAAATTTCTTATCCATTCATGAGACTCTCAGCAGAACAGAGAAGGAAACTGTTGTAGCATAATAAAAGAATATTTACAGAAAGGTTATAGAATTAATAGTCAAAAACTTGACTACTTCTAAGATTGGGAACAGAGAAGGAGATCTGCTCTCAGCATGGTCTTGCAGATTAATAAATGCGTAAGATGAGGAAAACAGAATACAGATTCAAAGTAAAAAGACAGTTTTTATTTGTAGATGACGTTATGGAGTATGTGAGGAGAAAAATCCCAAAGCATTTCCAAAACAGCCATTAGAACTAAGATTTGTGTGTTTGAAGAATGCATGGACAATAATAAAAACAAAAATAGTAATAAATAATTGGAAACTGAAATTCACAAGAGAATTTACAGTGATATCAAAAAATACAAAATACTTAGGCATACATCATATAAAGTATGTGCAAGATTTATATGCTGAAAATTGAAACATTGCTAAGCCAAATCAATACCTGAGTAAATGGAGAGATATTACCGTGTTAATAGATCAGATGATTGTCATTAATACCTGTTCTCTAAATTCATTTGTAGGTTTAATCCAAACCTGTCAAGACCTTGGTAGAAACTTTAAAATGTCTTTTAGAAGAAAGATTGACCAGGCTTGGGCCTATAATGGGAAAGAAAAATTGTTTTGCTCTATTTAATAGAAATTGGCAAACATTCTAAGATAATTTCAGAAAATTCTTTCACTTCTGAGAGAAAGTGAAACTACAAACTACATTTTATCTTGGGTAACAGAATGTAATAATTATTAAGTATAATATGTATTTTAAAACATTTTACATGTATTAAATCAATCCTTAAAATGTGTGATTAACTATTATTTACCAGATTACAGAATTTAAGATACAAAGATAACTGACTTAACTAAAGCTACATTCTAATGCAAGCTGACTCTGTGTCCTATTTTTTAACCATTACCTCAGATTGCTTTTCCTGTTTCAATTTCTTCCCTAATTACCACTGAGCTATAGTTTGTGTAAAGGTGATATTAAGGTCTATGATACTGCTTCACTTAAGCAGAAGTTTTTTTTAATTTTTAAAATTTTTATTGGTCCATCTTTGCAATAGATAAAGATTACATTCATGTTGAGGACTTGCTGTGTGTGCACAACACATCACACATCCTGGTTCTTTTTACTTCCCTTTAAGTGAAAGTTTAGATACCCAGAGTTCGGTGTCAACCACAGTTCCCTCTGCTGTATATAAAAAGAGTGCTGGTGGGGTGGTGAGTGAAGGCTTGCAGAGTGCTTAGTATGTTAAAATTCTCTAGAGAAAAGCCACAGGATACATATAGAAAAGTAAATCGAGAGGGGATTTAACAGGGGGGTTTGCTTACACAACAGTGGAGGTTAAGAAGGCCCACAGTTAGTGTCTGCAAACGAGGGAACCAGGGAAGCAGGCAGCATGGCCAAATCCAAATCTGGAGACTGTGGGCCTTTGGAAGTTAGTGGTATAAGCCTGTTGCTGAAGGCCTGAGAACCCTGGGCACTACTAGTGCAAGCCCTGCCTTCCAGAGACTGGTGAACTGGAGCTTGGATGTCTAAGAGGGGAGAATGGCTCCTAGGACTTAGAAGCCAAGTAGGTGCTGAGACATGGCTTTCTGCTGTCTGTTCATTCCGTTCTGGCCTGTTCTCCATACCCTGTCCCCAGCTGATGGCAGATCATCCTCCACTTGGAGGATGGTGCCCACCCATCCTGATGACAGATCTTCCTCCACTTGGTCCATGGGGTCCTATGTCATTCTTTTCCAGAAACACCTCATGGCACACCCAGAAACGTGTTACTAGCTCCCTGATAACTCTTACTCCAGTCAAAATTAATCTTTACAGTTTACATCGTATCAGAAAGACCTAATGAAAATTGAGTGAATAATGGAAAATGCATACTTTTCATAATTTATATAATAACTAGCATAGCGTTATGGTGACTATATTTTCCAAACTAAAATTCAGGGATTTTATACCTTCTGGATGTCAAAGTCAAGCTTTAAAATACATAAAATCTTTTAAATTTGGGATTTTCAGGTCTTGAAGTGACTTTAGTCTGGCACCAGAATCACATCTAGAACTTTGTAAAAATTACTGCTTTATGTCTGTCTTCCAGTATTGTAATTCAGTAGGCAGTAGAGTGCTCCAAAGGTAGTTTTAATATGCATCTTAGTTGAGATCCACTAACTTATGGAAGTAGATAAGACTAAGAATTGAACCATTTCATAAAAGCCGAAACTTGAATATTATGTTTAGTAAAGGCAGGATTTTTACTTCAAACAAATGTTTATCAGCATAGTAGACATCTGTTCGGAAATTTCTCTTGCTTATCTGAGAACTTTTCCTTCTCACCGTATTTTTTACTGTTGTTATCTCTTGGGTCAAACTTTGTCGAGTTCTGGAACTCTGTGATCCACTGAGTGAATACCCACTTCACCTTGTCCTCCACCCTCTGGGCAGTCTAGACTTTGAAGTCACTGTGGGACACTTCTCAAATTATTGGAGTATCACATTCAGGCATTTCCTATTTTGCTGTTGTTGACTGAGGTTTTCAGAGGTAGCAGATGCTGAAGGTTTCTAGTTAAGAACTATACAGGTCCTTTAAACTGAAGGGAATAAAAGAAGAGCCACGACAGTGAAATTGCTTATGCTTCCTTTCTTAAGTGTCAAAGCTGAGTTTGATCTAACGAGAGATTAGAATATCTAGTGTTGGTTTAAGTTTCACAGTAAGTAAAATACAAAGTTCATATAATTATACATATGGCTAAAAAGTACTGAGAAACAGCACTATAGAAAATATAGTGTATAGATATACAGCTCTTTTATTTTCTTTGCTTATTATTCAAAGTACAAACCACATAGTTTGTTCTATCTTTACATTCAGCAAATACCTTTCCTATTTTCAGCTCCTCCTTTATATTGCACCAATAATGTACCTTTAGTAAACTTGTTCTGTTTTTGTTTTTCTTCAATGAATTTCAGTTAAAGAGAAATTGACTGCGGATCCAGACAGTGAAATAGCTACAACCAGCCTAAGGGTTTCCCTGCTATGTCCAGTAAGTGTTTCCTGATACTTGCTTTCAAAAAGGCTTAATGTTTATTTCCTCTTTTCTAGTATCTGAGAAATACAGTGTAATGTTACTTTTGTTAGTTTATGAAAAAGAGAAAAGCATCACTGGATAGGATTTGGAATCTAAAAAATTCTGTACATTTAGTGAGATTTATCTAAATAGGACCTCCAGTTAATCACTGTCTTTCAAACTCAGATGTAAAAATCACATAACAAGGAATGTTTATTGCCTCAAGATACTTACAAAACTTTCACTTTAAAAAATGTAATCTTCGAAATAAAAATCTAGCCATAGTTACTTAGCCATTTTGCCAACAACGGTTATAAAAATCCATCATTTAAAACTACTCTAAGCTCAATGTGGTTACACATCCCTGTAATCTCAGCGCTCAGGCTGAAGCTGGAGGATCAGCACAAGTTTGAGGCCAGCCTATGCTATTAATAAATTCAAGACCAGCCTGACTACCTATTTGCTATACCAAGTATAACTTGATGCTTCAAAAAATTAAAAAAGACAGGAAAAAGATAAAAAGAAAAATTCTAGAATAATTGTATTCATTATATATTGGAATAATTGAAATCATTATATATTGGAAGATTTTTTTTTAACCAGAAAATGAAGTCAGAAGGGGCCATTTGTTTGAAATTAACACGTAGTCCCATGACAACCAAATTGTTAAACCTGTAAGGGATAAATGTCACAAGTATGTGTTAAGTATATGATAGAGGCATGTTCCTGTGATTCACAACAGTCTGGGAGGCTGAGGCAGAAGGATCACAAGTTTGAGCCCAGCCTGGGCAGCTTAGTGACTTATGGAGACCTTATCCCATAAAACAAAATTACAGAGGGCTAAGGATATAGCTCAGCACCATGGCCATGAGTTCAATCCTCAGTGTCACAAAAAGCAAAGCTAAGACAAAATACTTTTACGGTTTGTTTTTAAACTAATTGACTACATATACCAATAATAAGGATACTGTGTGAATATACCTTTCCTATGAAAATATGGGAAAAATTAATAGATTGCTTTGATATCTTAATTGTCTTTTCTTCTATAATTAAATTAATTGTATTTAAACTACAGAGAAAGCACAAAAAAAATGAAAGACATTAACTGCTTCCTGATTCACCTGGATTGTTCAGTCAAGCCTGATTTGAAAAGTTTGGATATTAAAATTCAACTAACTTGAAAATGATGATGAAGTTACTGGATTTCTGCTGGTTTTGTTTTGCTTTTGGTGCTAAGGATCAAACTCAAAGCTGCCCTACCACTGAGCTACATCCAAATCCTTTTCATTTTTTGAGGCAAGGTCTCACTAAGTTGCTGTTATAGTCCAGGTATGTAAGGGAAAGGAATTAATACAGGACATATAAATTACAGAATTAATTTTATAATAGTCATTAAAAGAGTCAAATGCAAAAAAGAGTGCAGGAAATCTGTCCACACGCTAGGTACCCAAAATATCTCAAGGGCCTCGATCCCATGGTAATATTCTGCATGAGTCAGGCTGAAGACCTACAGCCAATGATGGTGTCTCATGCAAGTCTGTACCAAGTATCTGTACTGGGAAGGCCCAAAGGTCAGTGATGGAAACCAGAAAGTCTGCGCCAGCAGGACGAAGGATCTGTGCCTGCAGGCTGAGAGATCTGCACTGGAGCCAAGAGCTCCCCTGAAGAGAACTGCAGCCATCCTCAGCGACAAGTCCCGAACTCCTCTGATGATGAGAACAGCTGAATTCATATCAGAAAAACCAGCACAACACACTTCTCCAGGAGAATCAACAGTGCTACCTCTTCTCTGGTTCTCCTTTTTCTGTTGTTGGCAACAATCCTCAGGTGGGCCTTCGATACCCAGCACAACGCTGATTCAGTTCAGCTGGGTGTTCCAGTTTGCCTGCCAGTTGTCAGTCCATCACAGTTGCCTAAGCAGGACTTGAACTTGTGATCCTTCTACCTCAGCTTCTGGAATTTCTGGGATTATAGACATGTGCTATTGTGCTTAGATGAAGTTACTGTACTTTTTTAAATAAATAAATCAAGACTCACAAAATTTATTTTAAAGGTAGCAGGGGATTGAACTCACAACCTTGCACTTGCCAAGGCAGGCACTTATGCTGCTGGGCTAAATCCCCAGCCCCAAAACTTTTATTTTTAAGAAAATTTATGATTAGAGAACAAAACCAGAATTCACACAATATAAATTATAGTTACTGCATTCTTGAAGAAACAGTTTAAACAGGAATGAGATCTTATTTGTCTTATGTTGTAGTCTTTTATAAAACCTTATCTGTAATCTCAGCACTCAAGAGGCCGAGGCAGGAAGATCCCCAGGAGTTTGAGTCAGCTTGGCTTACATAGTGAGTTCAAGGCCAGTGTGAACTAACAAGAAGACCCTGTCTCAAAAACAAAACAAAAATCAAAAAATACCTTTTTCAGAAGGAGGGACAATTGCTTAGTGAATTCCTGCTCATTTTAACAGTTCAACAAGTTACAGGGAAAAAAAGTGATGAAGTGAATAAAAATCATCAAGCCCTATCATCTTCCTATATTTTCCTATTCTTATAACTTCTTACTCTTTATTTAGCCATTCTGTTTGTAAGGAAGCTATTTTGACTCCAGATTTGTTAGTCTTAAAAATTCTTTAACCACATAAATGTAACAGCCTATATTATAAAAGCAACTAGTATTTTTTTAATGTATACAAAATTGGTTCAAAGACCAGGGAAATAGAAAGAAGAAAAAGTCACACACATATGTGTGTGTATGTGCACTTCCATATGTGTGTGTATAAATGCATCCTCTCATCTTTCTCCCAAATCCTGATTTATCTACTTCTGCATCCATTGATCCTTGCCTTATCCCAACTCAGAGAATATGATAAATTTTAGAAGTATATAAGCTTCATTTTCCATTCAAATCATACTTGTCAGTGTTCTTTCTTTACAGTTATGCTAATGTATGTGATATTTATAGCACTTAACATGAATGTGAAGCATTTATTTGAAGCACTGCAGTATAAATCTTCCACATTTTGTTTGTGAAGCTAGTTTTCAATTTTCTAATTGAGGTATTCATCCCCATACTATTAGAAAATGTTGATTTCATTGTCCCTGGCACCTGTTAATTTAGGTGGATCACTTTTAATTTTTCTTTCTTTCCTTTTTTTTTTTTTTTTTTTGGTCTTTTTGAGACAGGGTCTCTCTATGCAGTTCAGGCAGACCTTGAGCTCACTTTGCAGCCCAGGTTGGTCTCGAACTCACAATGATCCTCCTGCCTCAGCCTCCCAAGTGCTAGACTTTTAAATTTTTCTTTCCATACTCCCCCCATTTCTCTATGTTTAGTTCCAACAGTATTAGTATTCATTTTCATTTGGCATATGCTTCCAAAATTCATATTATAAAATAAAAGCTGTATAATATATGTATATATAAAATCTATAATTATGAAAACTTTCATGAACTTCTTTTTGGCTAAACGAATAATCCCTTTACAGTTATTCAGAAACAGTGAGACCATATAGTTTAGGTGTGTTTTGACTGAAAAATAAAATATAGCAATGATAATTTGTCTACATATCATGTTTATAGAATAATAAAAGAGATTAGTTACCTTTAAAATATGTAAATATGCTGTCTCACTGTGCATTTGAATTGCCCTTGTTGTGAGCCCAAAATAAATGAGTTTCTGTTGTTTGTGTGCCATTTAGCCATAGGCAAGGAAAATAATTAAAACTGTTTTAGTGCTTCAAGAATTTCTTGGTTCCATATAGCACTGGAAGGATCTTTGAGAAGCTGCCTTGTGGGATCTTACCCTCCATAAACCCAAATACAAATGACTTGAAGTTGGGGAGGGTACTTTAGACATTTCTTTATGAAATACTTGTTACAAGAATAGTGGTAAAATTGTTCTTAATGTCACAGTTCTTCCCTAGTTTCTGCAAGAAAAAGGTACATATTGGTCCAGGTTTTTAGCTTGTGGTGTGAGTGCCTGCCTGGCAGGTGTGAGGTCGTGAGTTCCATCCCCAGTACTAAAAAAAAAGAAAGAAAGAAAAGAAAAAGGTACATATTTTATTGTGATTGTCAGAGTCCTTTTGATACAAGGTGTATTACACTCTGTCTAGAGTTTTTTTTTTGTTTTTGTTTTTGTTTTTTAACTTTTTATCGGTACCAGGGATCAAACTCACGACCGCCTGCTTGCAAGGCAGGTGCTTATGCCACTGAGCTAAATCCCCAGCCCCTGTCTAGAGTGTTTTATCATCCTGCACCGTCAGTTATAACACTCGTAGGGTAAGGTTAGTAACACTAGAAACACATTTAGTAGTTGTTTTCAAAGAAGTGTTGTTTTCAAATGATGTATGTATATCCATCATATGTTAGGAAAGGAAAAGGGAATTTATAATCACCAAATGAAGATACTTAAAGTTTTAGTCTTAGGCCAGGCATGGTGGTGCACACCTTCCTGTAATCCTTCTTGGAAGGTCAGGGCAGGGGGATTGCTGGGAGTTCAAGGCACCCTGAACTGCAGTGAAACTCTGTCTCAAAAAGATAGATAGCTAGATAGATAGGTAGATAGATAGAGCAAGCTTAGTCTTTTCCCTTATAGTAAGTTAAAGAAAATGAGGATGTGTGTCAGATTTTTTGCGTGTTTTGTGTTTGTATTCTTGTTTTTGAGACAGGGTTTCACTATGGAGTTCAGGCTGTGCTTGAACTCACCGTGATCATGCATCTCAGGCTGGCCTCAGCAGGGATCCTCCTGCCTTTACCTACTAAGTGCTGGGACTAGCAGCATGTGCCACTATGCCCAGTGTCAGATAAATTTTTAAAAACTTGGTGATTTTAAAAAACAAAATGAGAAATATAAGGAACATCACTTTGAGCAGGGGTGCTGACTGGAACTCAGGACCTCTACTTGCCAGGCAGCCACTGCTTCACTGAGCTAAATACCTGATTCCACCATGTAATACTTTGTCTTCTTCTTCTTTTTTTTTTTTTTTTTAAATCTTTGAAACAAGGCATTATTGTGACAGCTAATAAGCAATGTGTTTGGAAGTGAATTTCTGTTTTACTGTAGTCAAAAAATAAGTACCCTTCCTGCATTGGTGTTCCATGGTGACTCCCACATGGAGTTGTTCTCTCCCCTAAAAGACGTGAACTGACAGCTGCAGATTAGGCATATAAAGATGTGTGAGAAGAAGACTTTTGGAGAATAACTGTTTTTCAGAGTACACATTTTAGTCTTTATAAACCATCTTTATAAACCATAAAAGCCTAATACTTTGTATGTTATTACCATATTTGTTTAGGAGTTTTAGCCTGAATCTACTTAGTATTAAGGAATTATTAAAATACCTACTTAGTAGAAATTTGCACTTTACAGTCAGATTTTGACTTTAAAAAATTTAGGGTGGTATAGTGGCACATGTCTGTAATCCAAGCATTCTGGGAGGCTGAAGCAGGAAGATTCCAAGTTATAGACTAGTGTGAGTGACAGGGAGAAGCCATCTAAACATAAAAAAGGGCTGAGGATGTATCTCAGTGCGAAAGCCCTGGGTTGAATCCCTAGTACTGGAGGATATATATGTATATATCTGCAGAAAAATTTAATTTGGCTTTACCCACCATCCTATTATTTGAAGGCGGCTATTGCTGTTATGCTGAAGATTGTCTCATAAAAGACTGTGTACACCTTACACACTTTGCATAAATGGTTTCTCCTAGAGCTGCACAGCGTGTGTGACCCGAGTCTTAGCAGCCCACAGGACTGTCTTTATGCCATAGAGCAGGTACAGTTGTAAGTACTGGGGCCAAGAACACAGGGTCTTTGTTTTTTTTATTATTGTTCTTTAGCACTACAACAGATTGAAGTAGAGAGAAAAACTGTTAATTTCAAGATGAAAAAGGAGCACCAGGGGCTGGGGATTTATTTAGCTCAGTGGTGTAAGTGCCTGCCTGGCAAGTGCGAGGTCATGAGTTCGATCCCCAGTACCAAAAAAAAGGAAGACCAGAAAGGTTAAGTGCCTTTCCTAGAGGCACAGTAAATGATTGATACCAGAACAATATTTAGAACCCCAAATGACAATTGATTTTCTTTTCTTTTCCTTTTTCTTTTAAAAAGAATAAAACCCAACAAAATAGAGTAAAGACAACCAAAATAAGGCCGTAAAAGTGAACCTCAAAGTAAGATAATAGGAAATCAACAACGACTACCCTAATATATCTTACTATCTTCACAATAGTTGTCCATTCCACCAGACATAGTAAAATCAAACAAAACAGAACAGACAAGACCAAAACAGAACATCAAATAAAACTAAACAATAAATTGGAACAGAACAAAACAGATCAATATTGGATTTAAAAAACAAGACAGAAAGAAATCCCCGTATCTGTTGTGTTGTATACTGTTGTTCTAGTAGATGCTCACACTACCAGCCGTAGGCCTGCAAAGTCAGTCAGACAGTACAAGCCTTTAATTGCTTTTGTACCTCAGTTGCTATAAACTCAGCCTGTCCCTCAGACCAGTCAGTCACTTAGGGTGGGGTGGAGGGTACTTGATTCTCAGCCTGTGCACTGGTCAGCTCACAGGGAGGGATATCTGGCTTCTCTCTTCCTGGGCCCCCCAGGTTTACATGGCTTACTGAGAATGTGAACTGGCTTCTTGTTGTGGTCCTCCCAGACCAGCATGGTTTCTCAACAGTTGATTTTCTTGATAGACAAGGAAATTGTTCCCTGAAATTCTTCTAAGTCAAGAAGGACCTTTTCCCCACTTAGCTCATACCCTTAAGCTTTTATATTTTTCAAGGTCACAAATACGTGGAAGGTCTTTACGGGACACTTGCCAAATTGTATGCCTATTAAACATAGGTAACTTCTGCTCTGTGGCCATTGTGAGCACTGAGGACTCCACCATGGTGCAAGGTGTCCTTTAGAGAAAACATGGACATGTGGAAGGTCCTTGTGCAGGTTTCTGAACCATGTATGTGCCTCACACCCAAGCCAGCAGCTTTCTTTTTATATAGGGTAGACTCAGCCTGTGTCAATTCAAGCAGCAGCTGCAGGGCAGGAAAAGAAACCTGACTTTCTGGAGATGCCGAATTAACAGTCCATGGCGATGTCCGGTAGGGGAGAAATGTAAGCACACACCCGTCAGAGAAGGGGTGATAGGATGCAGTTTTGTCTTGTGAATAATTTTATTTAGCACTAATACTTACAGTAAATATCCTGTCTCTTATGTTGCAGTAGTGTTTTTTGTTTTTTGGGTTTTTTTTTTTTTTGGTACCAGGGATCAAACTCAGGACCTTATGCTTACCAGGCATAATAAGCAATTCTTTTTTCCTTCTCCTAATCCTTAGTTAGATGGTTCTTCTTTCAGATCAAGGGCTGCATTAAAAATTTAAGAACACTCTCCAGAAAAATGCACCCACTTGAAAAACTGTGTATAGTTTGAAGGAGTTTGGAACTGTGAAAAGCACATCTGTAGGCTGTGAATTTGGAGTGGTGTCCCTTGTTGTAGACTTTGCTTAGTAGTCCAAAGAGATACTGTAATGTGTTAACCTGTAGGTAGGTTTCACAAAGCTGTGTTTAATTTTCTTCCTTTTGTTGAAAAACAAATATGATAGCTTTAAATCAAAACAGGCACTTTGTGTCTCTGGAAATTTTTATCAAAGCTTTTAACTTTTTTTAACAGTTGTCTAATACTTATTTTTTTCCTCTCATTTAAAGCTTGGTAAAATGCGGCTGACAATTCCATGCCGGGCCCTTACATGCTCTCATCTGCAGTGTTTTGATGCAACTCTTTATATTCAGATGAATGAGAAAAAGCCAACCTGGGTCTGTCCTGTCTGTGATAAGAAGGCTCCATATGAGCACCTCATTATTGATGGGTATGTCACTTTTAACTTTTTCTTTGTACCTTCAAGGGACTGTATGTGCATCTTTTTTTAAAATTATATTTGGGACAAAATTATACTGGTAATATTTTCTAAGTTAAATATGAATTTGGAGACTTGATTGTAGAAATCAGTATTTTTATTCAACTATTTTTATTTTTCAATATTATTTAAAATTTTAATCTTTAGCTTATCTAGCTTTTATTTAGATATCAGTATACATTTGCAGTACATTATTATTACATTCATTTAGCCAGGTGTGGTGGCACAATCCTGTAATTCAGCACTTGGAAGGCTGAGGCAGGCAGATTGTTGCAAGTTTGAGACCAACCTGGGCTACAAAGTGAGCCCAAGGCCAGCCTGAACCGCATAAGACCAAAAAAAAAAAAAAAAAAATTAATTACATTCATCAAGGGAAGATGGTGCATGTACATGGCACATCTGAATTCTTTTTTAGAAATCAGTATTTCCAAAGTGAGTAACTCATGCTATACATGTTTTTATTTTTTCCTTGAGTTCCCATGTTTTGAAAATGCATGTTAAAGGGCAGTGTCTTTAAGTGGTGTGTGAATCCACCTTTTCCTAACATGAGTTCGTCTTTGGACACGCAGACTGTGTTGGAGCACATGTGTAAGGGTTGTGGAATTCTGATTAACTTGTGCTTATCAAAAATTGAGCCTGTTTCTGGAGATTAGCTTGAACTTCAGTTGTGGACCATCACACCTAGTATCCCACCAGAGGGCTTCTGAAATTGATCAACACACTAATAGCTTCCTTTGGTTTTCTATTTGTATTTGTCTCTTTTTTTTTTTGTCCACCTACTACATCACAATAATCATTACACTGGGGGTGATGGCAAATGCCTGTTATGCCTGCTGCTCAGAACACCAATGTAGGAGGATGACAAATTCCTTGCCAGCTGGGCAACTTAGACAGACCCTGTCTCAAACGATAAAGGAGGCTGGAGATGCAGCTCAGTAGTAGAGTGCCCCTGTTACAGTTTGTGGTGTTGCAAAAAACAAAAATGAATAAGCCACCTTTCTTTAACTCCTGAGTCCCACCTGCGTAATTTAGCAAGACCTTGTCATAAAATTAAAATCAATTAAAAATTAAATTTAAAAATTAAAAATAATGGCAATAGAGTAATTGATAATGGAGATAAAAGTGGAGATAAAGGGCAGTACAAAGGCCAGGGTTTAGCTCAGTGGCCAAGTGCCTTCCTGGCAACCATAAAGTCATAAGTTTGGTACCAAAAAAAAAAAGGTCAGTACAAAGGCCCTGGGCTATACCCTAGTTTGGGGAAGAGGGTAATATTTTACCAACTATATATTACATAGGTTTAGGGTTCTCCCTTTTTCTGTAATAACCACATGTACACACACATACTCTTTTAAAAATTTAAAAACAGGCCAGGGATTTGGCTCAGTGGTGTAAAGGCCTGCCTGGCAAGTGCGAGGTTGTTAGTTCAATCCCTGGTACCACAAAAAATAAAAATACAGTAAATAAAAAGCTTTTGTGCTGTATAATTTTCTGATTTTCTTTTCACATAGTTGTTAATAGTGTTGTTACAGTTAATTGCTCAATAGTTAATTTTGATTCATTAGTTTCATTTAACATTATCATTGAGATTTGCCCATAGGCCTGATGTAGTGGCACATGCCTGTAATCCCAGCCCTTGGGAGGCTGAGGCAGGAAGATGGTTGGGAATTCAAAGCCCGCCTAGGCTACAAAGTGAGTTCAAGGCCAACCTGAACTGCATAATGAGACCCTGTCTCAAGACACACACACACACATACCAGGAATTTCATCCTAATTAATTGCATACATTCTTTGTATATTTCATTTTTTAATGTCTAGATGAGAACTTTATCAAGGATACTACATTCTTTTACATGTTTTGATATGTATTGTTTCAGTTTATCAAACAAGACATGTATTTTAGGCAATTTACAATGTGCAAAAAATCACAGAAGAAAAGTACTTGTAAAGTCACTAACCAGAAGATAACTGCCATTTATATACTGGTCACATAGAATTTCATGTTCAAAGTTTAGTTTTTTCTTTATGTGGTCTTAACATTTTTGTGAACATTTTCCCATGTTATTAGAAGTCTTTGACAATGCCATTTTTTCATGGTTATGTATTTCCTTAATAATAAATGTACCACTGTTTTCTTATGTACCACTCAGTTTTGAGAATAGATGTGATTTATCTATTCTTTGTTTTCTTCATTTATAGATTTATTGTAAAAATATCATTTATTGTAAAAAATATACAGCATCTGAATATTTGAAAAGTATATCTACTTTGACTTTTTTTATAGCTTGTTTATGGAAATCCTAAAATATTGTACAGACTGTGATGAAATACAATTTAAGGAGGATGGCTCTTGGGCGCCAATGCGGTCGAAAAAGGAAGTACAGGAAGTTTCTGCCTCTTACAATGGAGTCGATGGTGAGGATTAAGTCATTTGTACAGTCATGCTAGTGAAATAGTTCCTTAAATTTTAACAGATTTGGTACAGAGCAGCAAATGCTGCTGCTGAGAGAGACAGACAGACAGACTCTTTGAGAGAGAGACTTTGAGAGAGAGTGTGAATTTGACTTTTAATGTTTTGGCTAGAAGAAGGGTGGATGTTTTTAAGTGTTAGTATAAATTGCCTTTATAGGGCTGGGGATTTAGCTCAGTGGCTTAAGTGCTTCTCTGGTAAGCACAAGGTTGAGAGTTCAATCCCTGGTACCAGAAAAAAAAAGAAAAAGAAAAAAAAATTGCCTTTATTCTGAAGTAGACAAAATATGTATTTTAATTGTCTTGATTCAAAATTGTTTCCCAAAATAATCTTTTAACAACCAATAATACATAGTAGTTTTCCATGTAGTAGAACAGAGGCACTGGAAGTTTTCTGTTCTCTGAACTTGGCAGTATTATGAATCTGAACTGGTAGGCTGAGGGAACATGGAGGATAGTGTACCTTTTTCACCTTGTGTTTTAATCATTTCCAGGATGCTTGAGTTCCACTTTGGAGCATCAGGTGGCTTCTCACAACCAGTCCTCCAGTAAAAACAAGAAAGTCGAGGTGATTGACCTAACCATAGACAGTTCGTCTGATGAAGAGGAGGAAGAGCCATCTGCCAAGAGAACCTGTCCTTCCCTTTCTCCCACCTCACCACTAAACAATAAAGGGTAAGTGCTGACACTCCCCCATAAAAGTCCTGAATGTTAATTTCGTAAGCAGGGATTAAAGATGTGCCACCTAAAATGATGTTTAATTGTGAAAGTTAGGTTGAATTTTATTCCCAAGTGCATGATGCTCTTGAAAACTCAAGGTAATGCATTAACATTAAAAGGGCCATTTAGTTATAATATTGGCCATATCAAAAGGTAATACTAGTACACACAGTGATTTTCAAAATGTGGTATGGATCAGAACTACTGAGAGCTTACCAAAGTACATGTTTCTCGTGTGTCCCAAACCAGGAGTGGAGACATAGGAAATTTGGATTTCTAGTAAGTTCCCAGGTGACTCTTGTGCTGTGTGTAGGATTTAGAACATTAGCTGAAAACTGAAAAATATTAACCCCAACTTCAGTGTTTCTAGTGGAAATCTGAGGAAGACCAAATAATTCAAACCTGCTCCCAAGGTATGTATAAGGTTCACAAGGAAGGAAGTCGTAGATACCTTGGGTACATAAGTTTTCTATTTTTCAGACTTACTTGCCATATTTTCCATTAGTCTCATATAACTAATAATGTAGCACTTCAGTTCATAAAATGCTGTTATATACTTTGTGTGGAATACCTTGTTGTTTTGGATAAGGTGGGAGAATCCCAGGTTTGAGGCCAGCCTGGGTAATATAGCAAGACCTTGTGTCAAGAAAAGACAAGACTAACTTTGACTGGGAGTGGATGCAGTAAAATGAATATAATCTTAGCTTTAAAGAGCATAGGGGGTGGTAAAGCAAGTAGCAGAACTCTAGCTGTACTTCTAAAAATACTGTTAACATGCCAACATTACTCAGCAAAAGATTGTTTTTTTTGTACCAGGGATTGAACTCACAACCTCACGCTTGGTCAGACAGGCACTTATACCACTGAGCCAAATACCTGGCAAAACATGTTTTGCAGATGCATAACTGTAGCACACTAATAGTGAATCTAGAAATAATTCTGCTGCTTCTGCTGAGCGTCGTGGTACATGCCTGTTAGTCTTAGCTCTAGGGAGGCTGAAGCAGGAGGATTGAGATTCAAGGCCAGCCTGGGCTACAAAGCCAGACCCTGCCTCAGAAAACCAAAAATAAGTAAGTGTGTATGTACATAAGTAAATCAAGAGAATCATGTAGCCTTTTGTAGCTGAACAGGAGTTATTCAAAACACCAGCCAGCCTGAGAAAAAAATAAGAGAGAGAAAAAGTCTATAGATGGCATTGTTAAAGTTTTCAAGGTTCAAGAAGGAAAGTTGACACCAGACCAAGAGGGAGTACTTCTGTACTTGGTGTCCAGTCACTTTCAGGGTTGGCATTGCATGATGAGATAGGAAGATGTTGATTGAACATATTAAAATAGTTTGATAGCTTCATTTCATAGTAGCATCTCAGCATACAGACAACCAGATAGGAAACATTAAGAGCAATGACTTTATTCTAAATACAGTGAATATCACACAGTAGTCCTACTCTGTGGACATTTCTCAGGAAAACCATCCTTGATAGCTATTACTCAGCAAGACTGATCTTATTTTTATGCCCTGAGTTGGATGAAAAGGAAAGTCAGGTTACCTGAAACTGGCATAGCTAGGTCAAGTATCTATAGAATTTCAGTTCCAGGATTTTTTTTTTCAGTGATAAAGATTGAACCAGGGCCTCATGCATGCTAGGCAAGCATTCTGCCACTGAGCAGTATCCCCAGCTCAAAGACATTTATAGTCAATAATCCATAGTATGACCGATATGTGGTTGACTATATCTGTGTGTTCTGTATCCATGGTTTCAACTAACTTCAGAGTGAACATTTTCAGGAAAAAAAGATGTCAGGCATATATGTATGGACTTTTTTTTCCTGTTGTTATTCCCTAAACAGTACAACTATTTACATGTATGAAATACTAGATATACTAGATACATGTATTTACATGTATGAAGTACTAGATATTATAAAGAGTCTAGCCATGATTTCATGTGTATGAGATGCGTTTAGCTTATTTGCAAATACATTTTATTTAAGGAACTTGATCATTTTTGGATTTTGGTTTGTGCGGGCAGTTCTGAAAACAGTTCTGCAAATTCTCATTAATGGCATAATTGCAACCTTAAAATATTTCATAAAGAGCCAGGAATTTTAGTTCAGCGTTATAAGTGCTTGCCTGGCAAGCGTGCGGTCATGAGGTTGATCCTTGGTACCAGAAATAATTTTTTTTTTATAAAATTTGGTATATAAATAGTTTGGTTTACATGCATCATTATGTTGTACTCTTTGGAGAATTAATAGTCATTCTTATACATGTAAGGTATGAAATAGTTTTACTGTCTGGCTATATTTTTTCCTTAGAGTTTCTGAAGTATTGGGAAATCTAATATTTCTTTTGAGTGTTTTCTTTCCTGATTCTCCAAAAATAGCTGTGTTTATATTTGGAAAATTATATTAGATACATTAACTACTTCCTGCATTTCCTAGACTAATTGAGTCCAGACCTAACCTTGCCAGTGTCAGACTTTTTTCTATTTTCAGGTACAAACAAACAAGAGGCAATTAGCACCATAGTCAACACTAATGACCACTATACAGTAATGATTAGCCAATAACTAGAAACCTAAGCACAGCATAGTGTTTGTTACCATGCAGTGAAGAAGCTGAAATGCATTTTGTCAGTGACAAACCTGAAAGAAGAGTAGCCATGAGGAGGAGGCAAACATCACTAAAATGTAAAACATTTTACTGTCTCTAGTAGCTGAGTTTTTACAGAAATTTCCTATACTGTTTGGCGTGCCAAAATGTTTTCAAAGACTGGCATTTCAGCAGCTTTCCTCTCCTGTGTACTCCCCCAGGCACTGGCAGAGGACAGAGCTGATCATGCTTTTTATAGATGTAAAAGAGGTTTAAGTTTCCATGATGAAACTCCTTTTTGAGGCAGATGAGAGTGTTGATAGTTCATATTCCATTCATAAAGATAAGATAGATTGTCATAACTAGAACTCTGTTCCTAGGAATCCTGCCTTGTCCTCTAAGTTTAATATATTCTGTATCATTGAAATTACATCCCCACAGCCCAAGTATTTTACGTAAAGTGTTAAAAGATAGTTGCTTTATATCTTCATTTCTCTTTGTTTTTTATAGCTTCTGTAACGTTAGTCTCTTACATGGTTTGTCTAGCATATACTCCTGGCCAGCCCTCTCTCCTCCTCCTCCTCTTCCTCCTCTTCTTCTTCTTCTTCTTCTTCTTCTTCTTCTTCTTCTTCTTCTTCTTCTTCTTCTTCTTCTTCTTCTTCTCCTTCTCCTTCTCCTTCTTCTTCCTCTTCCTCCTCTTCTTCCTCCTCTTCTTCCTCCTCCCCTTCCTCCTCCCCTTCCTCCTCCCCTTCCTCCTCCCCTTCCTCCTCCCCTTCCTCCTCTGTCTCTTTTCTTCCTTCTCTCCCTCTCATTCCCTCTCCTCCCCTCCCCTCCCTCCCCTCCCCTCCCCATCTTTCTTTTTCCCTTTCTCCCTTTCTCTGTCTTTCTGTCTGTCTGTCTTGTCTGTCTTTCTGAGACAGGATCTCGCTATGTAGTTCACACCAGCCTTGGACTTACTGTGTAGCCCAGGATAGCCTGGAATTTGCAGGGATCCAAGTGCTGAGGTGACAGCCATGTGCCACCACACCAGTTTAACCCTTGTGTGCCTTAATTTTTGCTCAAGAAAGAGAGATTTCATTTACCAGCTTTTAAATATGTCACTTTGTTTTCCTAAAGCCCATCATTTTTTTTCTCCTTTCTTTTTCCAGTTAAACTACTCTTCGTTTAAAACCTCTTGTACATTTGGGAGCATTTCCTCCTGTTGTCTTGCTGCCTTCACTTTTCCTCTTCCTCCTTTTTATTTTTATTTTTTTTTATTTTTTCAAGACACAGTCCCACTGTGTAGTTCATGCTGGCCTTGAATTCACTGTATAGCCCAGTCTAGTCTCAAACTCTCAGTAATCCTCCTGCCTCAACCTGTCAAGTGCTGGGATTACAGGTGTGGGCCACCATGTCATACAAATTATTTCTTAATAATTGTGAAGAGTCTAAACGTTACTTTGTTTTGTTTTGTTTTTATTTTCACCATAAAAACCAGAGTTTATTGCAAGAGGCAACTCCTTTGTTAAATTGTGTGTGTGTGTGTCTTTGAGACAAGGTCTCATCATGCAGTTTAGGCTGGCCGTGAACTCACATGGTAGCCCAGGCTGGCCTCAAACGTGGAACGATTCTCCTGTGTCAGCCTCTTGAGTGCTGAGATTTCAGGCATGTGCTGCCATGCCTGGAAGTCCCTTGGTTAAATTTAAAAGTTAAACTGACTTCTGAAAATTAATCTTACAGCATTTTAAGTCTTCCACACCAAGCATCTCCAGTATCCCGTACCCCAAGCCTTCCTGCTGTTGACACAAGCTACATCAACACCTCTCTCATCCAAGACTACAGGCATCCTTTCCATATGACACCCATGCCTTATGACTTACAAGGTGAGTTGTTCTCTGAATTGTCACGTAGTATCATGGGTGGTGTTTATGATCTCTGCAATCTCCTTAGAAGAACAGCCTTTTGGACCTGAAGAATTGAGAGAAATAATATATTTCGGTCATGAAAACTGACCCAGTGCTTTGATTCTGCCAATGGTAAAACTAGTGCAGTAATCTTACAAATTTTGTGAGCCTTGAAATATTCTGTGTGTGGTGGCTGGATGGTTTCTAGAATTTGGCTTTGAATGCTGGTATTTATGAATATTTTTTTTGTTTCTCAGTTCTAGTGATAAATGCTGCAAGTATTGTGGGGAATTGTAGTGTACTGTCTTTTTAGATAATGCTGAACTGAGACATTTGAAGGTTTTAATTTTGGTTCTACTGAATGTGATCCTTCTTAAAAGTAATTTGAAATGTCAGTGTACTCACTTGCATATTTTGAGTTCATAAAAGTGTTTCTTTCTGCCCTCTCCAGAGCCCACTATACAAAAGTTACAGCTCCTCTTAACAGTCAATAAGTAGGCTTCCAAGCCTTTTTTACATGTGTGTGAAACATCACTATCAAGAAACATAGTACTATATGGTTTATAGGTCTTGGTGCTGTAATCTATTCCAGCATAGACAGTGGGTGGGTCCCCAGAGTATAATACAGTATTGTATTTTTATCTGCATCTATTTGTTGTGTTTCTCAAATGGTTAAGATATGATGAGCATACCATTCATGGTAGTCCACTCACTCTTTGTTACATTACACATGAGGTAGAGAGGGGAAGGAGATGAGAAGGGTCTGCCTTGCAGTGACTCCCAGAGCCAAGTATTGGGCTGGTCCTTGTGAGTAGCTGCCTCCTTGGCTCTCAGGTCTTCTTTGCTCATGCCAATACAGAGACACTAGTCTGATAAGTAAGGCTGGTAAGTAAGCGTATTTGAGAAAAGAAATCTTTGCTACAATCTCTTTTTATTTAAAAGTTTCTTATCTGTAAAATCAGGCCAAAAAGGGTCAGGAATTTAGCTCAGTAGCCTAAACTGCCTGCTTGGCAAGCACAAGGTTATGAGTTTGATCCCTATAACAAAAAAAAAAAAAAATCATGCACAGAAATTTATAAGGTGCTCATGAGAAGTAAATTGAGTTGAAATGGAGTGTTTGAAAGGTTGCTTAGAGCCTACAAGAGCAGGTCAGTGTGAGATACAGCAGGTGGCAGTGGCCCCTGTCCCTTGACTGGAGTCATGGAGGGGGCAGATCCTGCTGACATTGGGACTTCAGCCTTAACTATGAAATTCCACATAATGTAGGATTTAACTCTTGTATTTGCTTTTGAAGTATTGGGCATTTGGGAGGTTTTCTTCCTTAATTTTTCTCAAACTAAAATAATTTTTTCTCCCACAGGATTAGATTTCTTTCCTTTCTTGTCAGGAGACAATCAGGTATGTTATGAGTAAAGTTTATTGTTTAAATTGTATATTTAGAATGTTTAAACAGTAATATGTATCCAGAAAAAAGAGTAAGTTTCCATGGAAAGTGCAGAGTGAGCATATTCGTTATTTCTCGGACTTAAAGAACTTAAATAAAAATCTCTAGTTTTAGCAGGTTTCTTGGCCTAATACAATCATGTACCACATAATGACATTTAAATCGAGAACAGGTCACATATATAAAGGGGCCTCCTAAGATTACAATGCAGCTGAAAAATTTCTGTCACCTTCTGACCTTGTGGCTGTTGCAGTATTATAGCACAACACATTGCTCACGTGTTTCTGGTGGTGCTGGTATAAATGACCCTGTTGTGCATCCAGTGGGGTAAAAGCTCATATGGTTGTGTATAGTATACAATACTTGATAATAGATGAGTGTGATAAATTTTACTATGAAACAGTCTGCCACATTACACAGTAGCCGTCATACATACTGTGTTTACTGCATCTCTTGGTTGCATTGTTTCCCTTTGTGTTTGATTTCATTTCATGTTGTGTTCATTATGGCCTTAAGCATACAGCATGTACTGTTAATATTGCCCCAAAGAGGTCACATCAAGTGCTTGACCTGGAAATCAAGTGATTAAGGGGCTAGAGGATATTGCTTGGTGGTAGAGCACCTGCCTAGCATGTGGAGCCTAGCCCTGAGTTTGATCTCCAGCACCTGAGAAAGATAGAAGGAGATGGTTAGTTATTCGTGGCTCGGGCATGTCATATTCCACCTTAGCTGCTAACTTGAAGAACTAGATTAATGACAGAAATGATCTGCTTCATTGAAGACAGTGAGACTAACAGAAATTCAAGAAAGGTCTGTATCATGTGCATCAGACATAGAACAACTTTTGAACACCTGGATTGAAGTCCAAACACAGAAGCACATCCCTCTCAGCACATGAAGATCACTACCAAAACTGTTTGTTTTCAAGGTTGGAAGAAAAGGCTGCACTGCACTATAATGTTGTGCATGCTTGCTAGCTTGCTCTAGGTGATTCACTGCATTTCCACTAGCTTGAGCCACTGGCAGTACCTGCATGACTGTTTTATTGGGTAACTTGTACCATTGGTGGTACAATTACGCATGGGACAGTCAAGTGTATACCACCAGTGGTTCAAGCAACCCCGCAGTGAGATATACAGATTATAGCCCCAACATGGACTGGATAACAGTCTTGCTCAGAGGCCATGCTGCAGGCAGCAGATAGAAACCCTGTGTGGTATGGCAAAGCAAGGACCCCAGATCTTCATATCTAGGAACACTCACAGCCAGTGCACAGCAGTGCCATGAGAATGAGGTGTGACCCAGCTCCCCTTCTAAGATGCTCTTCTGAATTCCTGGGCCATCAGATGAAGCACTGTTTAAAGAATAACACATCTTCTGAGATTTTGCTTGAGGTTGATAATGCTTCTGCACATCTTTCTTGGATTGGTGATCTTCCTCCCAGTATAATACCACTTCTTTGATCCAACTAGTAGATCAAATATTAATAGCAGCTTTTAAGACTTACCACTTGGGGAGCCCCCCCCCCCCCAGGCTAGTGCTGCAACTGAGGAAGACACTGAGAAGATACTGGTGCAGTTCTGGAAGGATTACATTTATGACTGTGACCAGAACCTCACTTAGGGCCCAACTCCAGTAGCATGCTTACATAATGGGTATGGACCCAAGTTCAGCTCTCAGCACCACCTGAGAAAAGAAACCCTTTAGGCTTGGACCGAGGCCTCAGGGATTATACAAATGGCTTCTGGAAGAGTGCACTCTGAGTTCGTCCTGACTTTAGAGATTTGGCACAGATGCAAAGATTGCAAAAACAAACAATGCTGTGGTTGACTGGTGACAAATGATTAGCCTGAGTGTAGGTGGGGCTGACTTTGGGAAGCTCATAGACAAGAAGCCTTAGGGAGTAACTGATCAAGAGTCTGGAACTGAAACAGAAATGCACAGCTGAAGAGAGCCAAGAGAAATGGAAACTACAAGGAAAGAGGAAAAAAACTGCAAAAAAAAATCATAATGAAGCTCCTTGCAGACCTCGATGAGGTCCTTACATTTTGGAACTTGAGTCCCAAACTTCTGAAAGTTCATTGGTACAGAGGAATAGTTGAGGTGCATTATCTACTTGTAAGCAAACCTGTGATGAAAAAAGGAAACACACCGAGTGAAAGCATCACGGGCAGGATTCTGAAGAGCAGTGCCGTGGACAGGAGAGAGCCTGGGAGGACCTGGTAATCTGGGATGATACCAGCACATACAGGATGTGCCCCAGAATCTTCCAGGGGATAAGATATGGAGACAGAAGACAGTGGTCCTGGTGATCCTGTGTGAACCTAGTTTTTTATAACAAAAAATTTATATTTTTGAAAGTTACAGTTTATAGAACAAAAATATAAGGAAATAATTTTGTGTAGCTACACAATGAGTATGTTTTAAGCTATTGTTACAAAAACACCAAACTTTTTAAAAAGTTACATTAATCTAAGGTTAGTTTATTGTTGAAGAAAAGCATTTTTGAAAAATTAATTTAGTGTAGCCTAAGCACCATGTTTGTAAAGTTCTCAGCCTTTCCCTTCACTCTCTGACTCTGTCTCTCTTTGTCTCTCTGTCTCTCCCTGCTCACCCTGCTCACCCTGCTCACTCCAGCGCCTTCCAGCCCTGTGCACTGTGTACATTAGGTGTCCTGCGCGGGCACTGGCTTAGCTTCTGTGCACCTTCTCTGTTAGGCATGCACACATCCACAGATGCCCACCCATGTGCTTCCGGTGCCATCTGTATTCAGTACAGCAGTGTGCTGTGCAAGTCCAAAGGCTGTGTGTCTAGGTTCATAAGCAACTCTGTGATGTTCACACAACAGCAGGGTCGTTGAACAGTGCTCAGACCCTATCTCTTGTTAGGCAACGCAGGACTGCCTCCAGCACAAGCAGGTGGGCCGTGCTCTGTCCTGAGGCTTCTAAGCATAGTAGAAATACAGTCTTGAGAATTGCTTGTGGTACAAATTGAAGCAAAAAACAATTTTAAAATTCCAGTTTCAGATATGGAACTGCCTGTCAAGATCAGCAATCCAGTCATTACGCTGGACTGTTTGATTTTTGTAAAATGTCTCATTAAAGATTTCAGAAACAGGATATACCGGCTGCATATTAAGCTTAGGACTTCGATCTGCTGAGAAGAAAGCGCGTTTCTTCGTGCCGTAACAAGCTGCCTTGTCCTTGTTCCCTCCCCAGCATTACAACACTTCCCTGCTTGCAGCCGCTGCCGCTGCAGTCTCAGATGACCAGGACCTGCTGCACTCGTCTCGCTTTTTCCCATATACCTCCTCCCAGATGTTCCTCGACCAGCTGAGTGCAGGAGGCAGCACGTCCCTGCCTGCCACCAATGGAAGCAGCAGTGGCAGCAACAGCAGCCTCGTGTCTTCCAACAGTCTGAGGGAGAACCACAGCCACACGGTGGCCAGCAGGAGCAGCACAGATGCAGCGTCTGTTTTTGGCATCATACCGGACATTATCTCCCTGGACTGAGCCTGTGCCGGCTGATCCCGCCCCATCCTGAGGGAGTCATCTGGGCTGGAAGAAGAGAACTTTATGCTGTTTTACCCTATTTTGTTTAGAAAAGTTCACAAGTGTGTTTGTTTTTTTTCCTTTTTTTAGGGAAAAAATTAAAAGAAATGTACAGAGAACAAAACTATATTTTCAGTTTTACTTTTGTATATAAATCTAAGACTGCCTGTCTGATAAAACACTTGTTAAAAAAAAAAAAAAAGAAAGAAAAGAAAAAAGCACCCATAAACCACCGTCAGTTCATTTTTTCTGGATTCTGAAGATTTTTTTCATCATTTGTCCTATGGTTTTGGTTTTATTTTCCTTCAATGGCATTATTTTATTTGCAATAACAGAAAAGGAATTGCATGTATGAAGTTTTAAATTGTGGGCTTTGTTGTGGGGAGGGGGGAGGGAGATAGTTTGATTTCCATTTTTTAAAAATGACAGACTAGCATTTTGTTTGTTTGTTTGTGTGTGTGCATATTTTATCCAGCCTTAAGTTATAAATCTCATCTGTCCCATGGCATTCCCTGTGTATTTTTCAGGATGTAGCTCATGGGTGTGTGTGTTCAGTGTGTGTGCCTACCTGTATTTTTTTGTCCTTGCTGTACCTCTGAGTTTGCATTCAGTTCATATATCAGTTAGTTGCCTGCTTCTTTTAAAGTGCTTTGAAGGTCTTGACCTTACATGTGAGTATCTTAACAGCTACCCCGGTTGCATGTCTCCATTACGTATTCTCTCTGACTTGCTATATACCCCCTGAGAATATACTTTCAGGATGTTGGAATAAAGCTGTCTGGGTAAGGAGTAGGCCTAGCAGACCTGTGAGTAATACATGTTAGCCTAGTTCTTGATTCTAAGTCTGGATTGCCAGTATTGTATATTTTAAACTAAGTGTGTGAGTACCTACTTTTTTTGGCCACAGGGTAACAGGTTTTTGTGCAAGATCTTCATACCAAAGTAAGAAGCAAAAATAGCTGAGATACCTGTTGGGTATCTTGTGCAGCTGACAGAGGAAGGCTTATGTCACTCCCAGTTATCCTAGACCAATCAGTTATCCTAGAAGTCAATTCTGTTTGGAAATACAATGCACCACACAGGTGGATCTATCGAAAGCCACTATTTGATATTCAGTTGAAATTTAAGATGAGTTTAAACCTCAGCCATTTTTATTCTGTAGTTCTGAGTGTTCTTAATTTCTTAGCCTATCTACTTCGATTATTTTTTCTTTACCTTTTATTTAGCTGTTTCTTCTATTTTAGTTCTTAAATTCAATTGCTTATCAGGTTTTGTTGTTTTGTTGGTACCAGGGATCAAACTCATGACCTTGTGCTTGTGAGGCAGGTGCTTGTGCCACTGAGCTAAACCCCTGGCCCTATTTTTTCTTTACTTTTTAATGACAGACATGACATAGGAAAGTCAATTTTTAAGAATTCATGGATTGGTCTAATCTTCTCTTACTAGTGGAACATGTAAATACATTGAAAACTTTTTCAGGAAATAAAGGGCCTGAAGGAGGGGAAAGTGGTTCTGTTTGAATCCCAGAAGTAGATAAATTGCATTCTCAGTTGTGGAAACTGTATTTCAGTTATTTGAGAGTACAGGTTTAAGAGAAAATAAAGAAGGGGCATAGCGATAGCCAGTTTTCCAGATTGGGTTTTTTGTATCAAAGCTCTTAATAGTCTCAGAATCAGTGAAGGACCACCTTTGTGTATAAACTTGTCATTTTAAACTGCCTTGTTAACAAAATTACCTACTTTAATCTGGATAGAATTTAAAATGGCTGTATCTTTGGTTGTATGATAAAATTAATGGTTCATATATGACTGTGTGGCATCTAAAAATAATATCTTTTTACAGCAATCTCTCTGTTACTAAATTGTTGACTTGAATTTTGAAGAAAAAAAAGTTGGTGTCAATATGTATATGTGTGTGTGTATATATGTATTTATAAACAAGTGTGTGTGTGGGTAACAAGTGAGTTTCATAGTCTTCCCCTATGCATGTGTATTCTACACATAAATGGCTGAGTTATAGTCACAAAACAATTTGCAATAAAAAAATACAGGTTCATTGTTAGTTAAAACAGAAAGTAATTTTTAAGTGCAACTGGTATGGTGAGTAAATACTTTAAAAACTCTTATTGGCATACTAATATAGGCCAATTTCAAATAGTACCATAATTTGTGTCTAAATTTGGACTGGAATAGAAATTACTAAAATTGTGGGAGGGCATTTCTTTCTGATTTTACATAGTGATACGAAATTTCTCAACTACCTAAGGTAAAGTGTTTTTTAACTTTTTTTTTCTGTCATTGATAATGGTCTGAAAATTCTGATCAGTAATTTCGTGTGTAATACTGATGACTTAACTGTTTGAATGATCCAGTCAAAAACCTGTACCTTTACTTTCTGCAGCTCAGTTCCAGGGTGGGGCAGGTTACCCTGACTCTGTCCTGTTTCATACCACCTAAGGGAAGATTTGGAAATAGGGAGAAATCAGTGTCCGGTGGCTGTGGTCCTGACCCATAGAAATCTCACCACTCACTCATCCTTTGATTTTAGTTCATTCCAGTCTGTAAGGAGTTTGTCCCTTCAGTTGTGAATTTCTGAAGAGTTGTATAAATTAATAGCTGCCCCTCTGTCAGTATCATGGTCTGTAAGTTGCTCAGACTTTCATGGTCTGTCATAATTATCAGTAGAGTCATGCACTATATCTCTGTCTCCTAAATCTTAAAAATGTGTATCGTCACTTTTTGTCTTTTTTTCCTTAGCCCACCCACTCTCCCCAGCCCAGGCCAACGTTGCTGTGCTGTCTGTGGACAAAGAGCGATTCTTAGACTCTAGGCGAGCTGCCAACAGCCCCGTGGCCTCAGTGTTTCATAACAGTATGCATATATCCATGTTTCTGGACAGTACTACTGTGTGTGTTTGCACACATGTGCATCTACATGCACACGGAAATCAGCTCACTAGCAGGGTTGAAGTGGCTTGATTCCTGTGTGGGCATTATTGGACATATCTTTTTAAAATGTAGTATGCAACTAAACCATGACACACTTGTTTGATTATTTTGAGCATTAAAATTCTGTTCTAATTTAGACTTGTCACAATTCCACATCGTTACTGGCTCAAGGAAGATTCACTTAAGTTTCTGAAAAGTGTTTTTTAGTAGAGTCTCCTTTGAGACAAATTTGTGAAGTTGAAAATATATCCCAGATGTAAATTAATAAATGTGGAATGAACATTGTTTTGAAACAATTTCAATTTTAAATACATAAAACTTAAGGGTCTTCAAGACTTTTGAAAGCACATTTGAATTTATTTTAGAATAATTTAGTTTATCAATACATACTGAATTTTTTTTTTAATGAAACACAAAGCTTAGATTTCAGAAAGAGGGAGGGAGAATAGCTGGTGGTCCCAGAGTGTGCTGCTGTTGTTTAATTAACAAGGGGGAAAATGTATATAAATAGATATAAAACTTACCATAAATTCCATGAACTTAAATCTGTGATTCATTGCCTTAAAACTTTTTCTCTTAGAATTTCCATACCGCATGCCAAACCAGTAAAATGGCTTTTAAAAAATGTATAGTAGACCAATGTCAGTTTGTATAAAAGTTACCAAGTGAAAATATTTATTACATGCATTGGAAAAAAATTGTTTACTTATTGAATGTTACCTGTTTATGTAGAGCTCTTTAGATGTAATAAAAAAAAAGCCTTCAGTTAATTTGTCTTCTGTAAAACAATACTGCTGGGGATGCAAGGGAACAGTCCCTATGAGAAAGGAGGTAACGCTTTCTGCTTCCAAAGATTTCAGAGTGTGACAGGTACCTAGTACTCTTGCACATGCTTTGAGCTAAGTAGTTACTATAGAGCCATTGTTCTCTCTCTTATTGAAATTTGATAGCTCTGTAATAAACCACAGCTTCTGTTTTGCTTTGAATCCTTCAATATCTGCAGTTTGCGTGCTTAGAGCACTGTGGCTTATTTTTGCAAACGGCACAGGGTGCAAGGTAAACCAATTGGAATTACAGGAATGAGCATGAAACTAGGACAAGACCTAAATGCGTCTCCCGGGATTGTGGGTCCTTGGCTCACAGCCATAGTACGTCAGTGAAGAGGAGCCCAGGTCCTAATGACCATCCCACACTGTATGCACTTACCAAGCTCAACTTCAGGTTCCCATCAGGCCTGTGACAGTTGTAAAACGTTTTAGAACCATACTTTGGCCAGTCAGTAATAAATATAGCCATACCAAAGTGTTGAGGGAAAGTACTGTCACTTATTATTGTAGCCCAGAACTTCCTTTTCCTGTCTCGTCTACATCATCAAAATCTGTCACCTGTGTGATTTTTGATATTCCAGGTTGGCTGTAAGATTAACTTCTCAGTGCCCATGTGTGGAGTCAAAAAGAGTTGTAGGCCTAGGACCCTCGCCTATCAGTGAAATCCAGCAGCCCTCAAAAGGCTCAGGTTTTGTGTCCCAGCAGCTGGATTTCTGTGAAGATAAATAAAGATGAAGCATCACTACCCTCTCTTGCTCTGGCCTCTTCAGGGTACTGAGAACAGTCCCAGACAGTCTGTGTTTCTGTTTTTTTGTACCGGAGATTGAACTCACAACCTCACATTTGCCAGACAGGGACTTAGGCCGCTGAGCTAAATCCATGGGCTCTTGTGTCTATTTTTGTATTTCTTCTCTTTTTTATTTTTATTTGTTGGTTTGGTTTATTTTTTGAGACAGGGTCTCACTATGTAGTTTTAGGGTTTTTTTTTAAAAAAAGTAAGATTCAGTATTTTCTTTTAATGAATTTTATTTATTTTTATCTTTTTAAAACAGGGTCTCACTGTGCAGTTCAGGCTGACCGTGAGTTCCCTTTGTAGCCCAGGTGGGTCTCGAACTCACAACAGTCCTCCTGCTTCAGCCTCCCGAGTGCTGGGATTACAGGTGTGCACTACTACGTCCAGCTTCACTATATAGTTCAAGCTGGACTTGAACTTACTATGTAACCCAGGCTGGCCTTGAACTGACAGTGATCCTCCTATCTCAGCTTCCTGAGTGCTGGGCTCACAGGCATGTGCCACCATGCACAGCTCGATTTTCTTTTCGTAAGACTACCAAGTTGTATAAATCTCAGACCCTGTAAAACTTGGATCTTCCCCTGCACCTTGTAGATGCAGGTCCCCAACTAGATGATCACTAACTTCACATAGTTAATGTTCATCACTGACCCCAAAAGCCCTCCTCTGCAACTTGTGAATTCCTGCTTACTCTTGTGGGCAATATCACTGTTGCCAAAAGTTCTAGTTTTCTTTCTCAGGACCTCACTTCAATATGAAGCCATGTGGCAGAGTTGCACTAGACTTCCGGTCCCCACAGTGCTCCCAGTACCTTGCTTTAGATTTGTGTTTAACACTTCCCAGAGGACAACCTGTCTTTCTGATTGGCTTGTCTTTAGCAACAAAGGCACTGTTAAGAGAGCTGCAGCCTGATGTTGACCCATAAGAGGATGAAAACCCTAGGACTGGGAGCTTGCACCCACCCATTCTGGTGTGCCACTCCATCCTCTTGTAGGCCTATGCTGGTTCTGCCCACAGTGAGTCCACAATCTGATGAGCATCTGGCACCTCTGAGCCCCAGACAGCACAGGTGCTTCCTCCTGGTGTGTCACTCTAGCCACTTGGGCTGAGGAGACTGCTAGGGTAGCTTTGTGGCCACTACTGTTTCTGGAAACATGCTGGAAACCTCTTAACATGCTGGCCATGGCCTGTTACCCACCCTTTTTTTTCTCTGTTGGAAGTGGCTTATGGTCACACACACACACACACACCCCCACACACACACCCGTACCCTTCAGCTGAGAAGACCATCCCAGTACCTGGATCTTCCTACCAACAGCCCAGTGTGTGGTTCAGGATTCTAGGAAGAGTATCAGAAAGGCCCGAGCTCCACAAGGCTTGCCAAAGGCCCTAGCCTCAGCATGGATGCAAGGCCTGTGTCAGTCTTCTCCCTGCCCAACTGCTGTGAAGTGCGTGCAGACACAAGTGTCTTCACTCATCGGGTTAGGACTGTGTATCCTGAATTGTGTCCTCGTCACTTGAGATGGAAATGAGAACTTCTACGTGGGCCTGTGGAGCTCCAGGAAATAACTGCAGTACTGTTTTCAAGATTTGGTTGCTAGTTCTCAGCTAGCACTGACTTTATCTAGGAGATATAAAAAGGTGGTTCTGGCACCCAAATCTCGTGTGCTTTCTTAGAGGGTGGCACTGCCCTTTTCTAGAATGAGCACCAGCACTGGAATTTGAATTCCACATGCTCTGCGGGGTGCCAGGGCATTTTCATGTGACCATCTCCACCCTTCCTCAGTGGGCTCCTAGAGTATAAGTGCAAGAACCTAACCTCTGTGAGGACCCTAAGGCTTTGAGGGTGAAATGATCTGCCCAAGTCACACAGCTGGGGAGGGGTACTGCTGGGATCCCATGGAATATGGCCTGGCTCCAAGCTGCAGGCTCTTTCTACACAGTGAAGTCCAGACTAATGGCAGCTATGAAGATCCGTGCAAATCTTTTATTAAAAACATGCTAATACCATGACAGAAATCATTGATTGTGAGTTATCCCTGGCTATGGGAGCCTAATATCTCGTTGTAGTTTGTCATCTCCCTAGAGTGAAAAAGAATACTGCCCTTTTAAAACATTAATAATGAGTCTAGGCTTTCAGGCCCAGGGAGATGCCTTTGCACACTGCATGTTCAGTAGTCTTGCACAGGCAGGGTGATCTTCTGGATGAACTCGTCGTACTTCACTTGGCCACGTGGCTCAATACCTCCTGCTTTGAAAAGCTCCTCCACTGCAATAAATCATACTGAGTTTTCAGTTTGGATCTGGGGTTATGACATGGAGCTCTTTGGGGGCTGGGGCTTCCCAGGGGTCTTCCCTGTGCATTCAGCAGACAAAATGAGGAAGTAAACCAGAGAGCAGGACAGCCTGCCCCCTGCACACCACCAGCTCAATTTTTGGACATTCTTTAAAGACAGTGACATAGGGCAATGTACTGCTGAGGTAATAAAGGTATTTTTTTTAAGTTTTATTTTTGTTTCTGTTTTTTGAGGTAGGATCTCACTATGTAGCCTAGGCTGACCTTGGACTCGAAGTGATCCTCCTGTCTCAGCCTCCTAAGTGCTGGGATTATAGGTGTGTACCACTAGGCCTGGCAGTGGCAGTGTACTGCTGAGGATTCTATTACTGAAGCCGCCTGTGCTGCTTTTAAAGAAATTCTCTAAACTCTGTGACTGTGTTTATCGAAACTTTCAGCTGGATGTTTGGCGTGCCACAGTGTTCCTCCTGTCCCCCGGTACTGTGTGCTTCCCTCTGCAGCTCCTGGGGGCCCACCGAGCCCAGGCTTTCGTTTATTCTTGCCTCCCTGACCCTCCCACACACACATCAGCGCCACTGGCCACTCCTGCCTTCACACCAAGAGAGGACTTGGCAATAAGTGCTGTCTGCTGTCACTGCCTCCTTAGGGAAACGGCAGGGGCTGGTGGTACATTTCAGAGGTAGTGCACATGCGTGGTATGCGTGAAGACTTGGCTTCAAACCTCAGCACCAGTAAAGAAAAAATGTGATGAGAGTAAGAGAAAAATAAACCCAACTGTGTCTAAAGTACAAAGCTTCCAAAACTGCCATTGTCTTTATTGCTCAGGAAAAAAAATCACTATTTGTATGTTTCTTCTGATTGTAGATTGTGAAACAAAATATTAGCGTGTCCTAAGCACTAGTAGGAAGAGCCATCTCAGCTTGCTGGTTTCCACAGTGACCACTTGGGCCAACCTAAATTGGCTCTTTGGGCCATCCTCACCCTCCTGCAAAAACTCTGTCACACCTTCCGCTCCCCACAGCGTCCCATTTGCTAGCCCTGGACACCTCCACGCCTAATGGTGGGAAGCCAGCTTTGCTTCTCTGCTTCGCCTTCCTCTTAAGTGTAATTCCTGTGCTCTGTGCTGAAGCCCATGGTGGCTCTGAGTATTCTTAGAAGGTTGAGAATGATTTATTCTGTGGCCAGTTGGTCTACAAGGAGCAGCACTTTATAGCCCAGACAGTGGGGCTGAAGATGCCAGGGCCAAATGGCCCCCGCCCCAGCGGTCTCATTTCACAGATCCCAGGAGCAGTCAGTGTTCCAAAGTCACCCTGTTCCAGGCCTCACATGGGAGACCTCCCCTGTGGCCACCTCCCCTGCTCTAAGGCTGCTCCTTAATAAAACATTTCCTTTCAGTCACTCCAGGATGGGAGATTCCTGTTTTTCTATCACCCTTCTTGCCTCCACAGCCAGCTTGATGGAAGTTGGCCCTCCCACACAAATGTTCTTGGCATGTTACATAAACAGGAGAGATCCCTTTGGACAGAGATCACCAGTTGCAAGAGGGAAGGCCATCCTGTACCTTACCCTGCTGTCGATGCTTCCCCTGCTGGTGCAGAGAGAGCAGTGTCCTCCGAGCCTGAAAGGCGAGAATAGCCTGTGTTTTCCTGATCACATGAAAGATGAACCATAGCTGCCAGCGAGAGGAGTCTGCCTGCTGCAGAGCGCTGGCTATTTTTAAACGCTGTGCCTGTGGCTTTTTGAGCAGTTAGGATGGAATGTTAGCTCTGCACCTGCACATCCAGGGTACAACCTTGTTTCCAAGGGTAAGAAACTTGCCTGAGGTCCCCAAAAGGGGAACCACGATGAACTCTCATTCAAATAGCAACCCGGAGGTGGCTTGGATGGTTGTGATTTTGCTGAAAGATAAAGGTCCTTCTTCCTGAAGACTTTGCCCTGCATGCACTTCTGGCCAAGCCTGGCTACCCCAGCCTGAGTGGGGCGACCTAACTAGAAACTCAGGGGTTAGTGGACAGAGGGGCTCTGAGGCAGAAGGGCAACCAGGGTCCCTCATGGGCTGCTATACAGCAGGACAGCCCCTCCTGGAGCCCTCCTAGAGGAGCATCTCAGTTTGGGAAGGTCATTGACAGCAGGTCAGAGCCTGCTGAGGTTGGGGGCGTCTCCCAGACCTGTGTTCAGCTTCAGTTCTGCACCCTCAGAGCCACTCACACTGCCTGTTGCCTTCTCAGTGGGAGGAGACGCTCCTGCACCCAGGGTGTCCTAGGTACTGAGTGAAGACCTGCCGTGAGGGCTTGAACTCAGGGTGAGGCTTGGTGGACCCTCCCACCTACTGAGCTCCACCACTGTCCTCTTGCCCGGGGCCCCACCTACCAAGCCTGATCTCTTGCTTAGTGACTTTGGGACCAGATCAGCTGCAATGTCTGCTCACCCTGGTGGCATTGCTGAGGCTTTGGTGTGCCCCCCCCCAACCCTCTCCACATTGGGAAATGGCCACGCTGTTTACCTTCCTTCTGGGTGAGCTTCTCCCCCAGATTCATGAGTTTTGACTGCAACTCAGATGCCATGATGTAACCTTTCTTCTCTTTATCTGCCATCAACATGGCCAGCAGAATTTCTTTCTTTGGGTCCTCTTGTTTTATTTGTGTGTGCATAATGGTCAGGAAGGTGGAGAAATCTAATTCTCCATTTCTATCTGTAGAGACAACAGAGTGAAGAGGGAGGAAAGGGGCTTATTGGGGAAGTCAAGTGGCCTCTTGTCCAGCTGTTGCAGCCAGTTCCAGGGCCATCTAACTACGAGCACTGTGGTGGTGGCCATAGTTAGACGAAGGGTAGCGTCTCCTTGGTAGCATCTCCTACCAAGGTCCCATCAGGATCACCCATTGGGCTGGGTACACCTCATTGACTCCTCAGTGGCCACGGTCATTGCACCCCCACTTCTGCATACTAAGGGGATGAAAGTCCAAGGCTTGAGTCACAGCACAGAGCAGGATAGGCTGCCTTCTCTGCCCATTCTTGTGCTCCCCTCCCTCCATGAGCTGGAGAGAAATGGGTGCACATGGCCATGTTCCCTTTGGCGGCCACCAGACCACATTTGTGACAGTGATCTATTTATAAGTTGACAGTGACCTCACCTGGGCCTTAAGCCCAGTCCTTGGTGCACTGCTCACCAATCTGTCCTCCCTGCAGCCTCCACCCTAGCCTTCCTCTGGAGCCTCAGACCAAGTACTGGCCCAGCTGCTGCTGCAGGAAGCTGGAACTTCCCAGGCCACATCTTCCTGTTCAGAGGAGACAGGAACCTCTTCTGATCTGAAAATAGGGGATTTTAGATATCAGGCCACTGAGGACCCAGTCCCTGGCCACTTGCCCACAGGTTCCTGCCTGGGAAGAACTGCCAGTGCTGTGACATGACCTCCAGTAACCCTAGCAGATGGTGAGGCCCATCTGAGAGATGCTGAAGCCTCAGCTGACCAAGAAGTAGCCTCAGGACTCCAGCCCTCTCTAGTCCCTGCTTCCTGAGTGTCCAGCCACAGCATAAACAGCTGCTGGCCTCTGACACTTCACTGCCATTAAAAAGCAAACAAAACATCACAAAGCTTATTTCCCATTCTAAAAGTCCTATATGTTCCTTCTGGTAAAGGTGCAGGGAAAAGGAACAGAAATTGCCATTAATCCAGAGATAACACTCACTAGTGTGCTGAAAGGTTTTCTTCCAGTTCCCTAGCAGTGTTGTGTCGGTTCTAAGTTAGCCTTTGAAATCAGACCTGGGTTCCAATCCTGGTTCCACTATTGGCTCAGAACTCAGGCAAGTTACTGCATGGCTATGAGCCTTGATCTTTGCCTATAAAGTGGGGTCCCCCTCCTATGGCTGGTTTGAGCATATACTCACCAAAGAGACATTTTTCTATTAAAAACATTAGGTCACCATGTTAACACTTTCTCTAGGTTTGTGATAGACTTATGGGATGCCAGAGCCAGGTCCCTGGAGCATGGGAGTCACCAAGCCCACCAGCCCACTCACCTATCCTGTGGGTCTGCAGGTGCTGCTCCACTTCCCCTAGTGTTGGGCTGGCCCCCAGGCACCTCATAGCCACCAGGAGGTCAGTGGTTTTTATCTTGCCCCTCTGCTGCTTGTCATATAAAGAGAAGCATTCCTTGTACTCTGCGAACAGCCCAGGGGGAGAGTCAGTGTCGTTTGGTCACCATCCTCCCATCCTCTCCCCACACTGGCCTTGGCCCTGTGTTTACAGACTCCAGAGAGGTCACCCAAGGTCTGAGCAGGGCTGGACTCCCAGTGGTCCCAGGGCCCCTTGCAAACAGATTGGCTGTGGAGCTGAGGCTGCTCACAACCCAGCCGTGCAGCCCAGCAGCACAGAGGCAGCCAGGTGGAAGCCCAGCACTTGGTTCATTACGCTTCCTGTTCAGTCAGAATTTGACAAGCAAAGCCTGCATACATCATGACAAAAGCATTCCTTTCTCTCTCCAATGAGTTGGAATTGTCTTGTCATTAGATCTGAGGAGTGATCCACCAGTAAACTGTTTCTTACTCTGGTACAAATTAGATTAGTTCCATTGAAACTTCTTTCAGATCGTTAGCACTGTGGATCCCATCAGGGCTGTCTTAGATTTAGGTACAGATTGTTCAGACCTAAATTGTTTAATCATGGCTAGTTTCAACCACCAGGTTGCAAAATGGGCCTCAAAACATAGCTGTCCTCTCTAGTGTCCAACATGGAATGGCATTTTCTCCTCTGTCCCTGATTCCCAGCATCCTGGGAGCCTCCAACTCCCCATTCTTTGCTCCATCTCTGCCCATTCTTTCATTCTTGAAACATCAGTGGCCTCTGTGTTAGTGTCAGATTGAACACAAAGAGAAACTCCTTCCTTCCCAGGAGCTTCAGAGGGACCCCGGCCAGTGAGCCTTACTCCAGTGTGCTGGGAGGCACTGAGCCCAGATCTAGATTCCAGCTGAGTCTGCCATTCAGCCTTGCCTTTAGAGCTGAGCAAGGGGGTGAGGTGGGGGGCTTGGGATAAAGAGTCAAGAGGTTCATGAGGGGTGCCCACCTGGAGCCCCTACTGCCACCTGCAGTTTCTGCCCACTTCCAGGGCCTACAAGACCCTTGGATCACAGTAGCTCTGTGGTCCTAGGTGCCTAGAGTTTCACCTCCAGTGGACAGAGACGATCCCCTGGCAAGGCCCTGAGGCAGTGGAGAGCTGGAGCCTGGAATGCCTCAGGCTGGACCATCCTGACTTGCACAGTCACTATGGGGGAAGAATCACAGGGGACCACTGCTGGGCCTTGGAAGCTGCAGCCTTTTCTGCCAGGGCTTAGGGCCTTCCATTGCACCCCAGCACACCCTGCTCTGGGCCCCCCTTTTGTGTAACCCGATTAGCTCCTCTTGGCTTCATGGAAACAAGCTGTGCACTGCTCAAAACCGAATATAGAGCTCACAACCAAGCCAGGCCGAGGGGCCTACTTAAAGACAGGGGCGCTGATGCCCAAAGAGGAGAATCCTGCCCAAGGGCACAGACCTAGACTCTTGGTCCCTGCCCATTATAAAACTCTTTTCCCTGCTGATTTCAGCCATAATTTTAAGGTCTCTCCTCAACTCTTTCCTCCTCCTGCCTCGTCTGAGGACACCCTAGTGAGTGCTTTCCTAGGACCTGGCTCATACTGAAACTCATGGCTACAAAGCCAGAAGCCCCACCTCAGAGCTCACCCCACCCACGAGTGCCAGCATCCTTGCCACAGCTGGCCCAGTGCCCCTGGGTGGCCCAGCTCTTCCCACCATGCCTTGCTTTCAGCAGAAAAGGAGTGCACCAAATTGCCTAATGAGACCCATATTTTGCTCCAAGTTGCTAATTAAAGAGCAGGCAACTTACCATTAATTTGGTCCTGGGAAAGATACTTGGCCTGCAACAGAGAGAGGAAACAAGTCAGGGACAGAGACCATCAGAGGCCCCCACTGGTGACACAGATCCCTCCTTACCATCTTGGGGCTCCGGCAGCTCTTCTCAGAACTACATTCTCAGTTTCCTCTCCTCTGGCTTCAAGTCGAAAGTCCGTCTGCTGAGCTGGGTGGAGACTGGGTAATAAACCCCGGGCTGCCATGGAGACCAGGCCACAACCACAGGGGTCAAATTCCAGCTCCCATGCACAGCTGAGGCCCTGCTGGCTTGGCCAGCTTGATTAGGAGGAAACAGGGCCGCAGGAGGCCTCTTCAGATCTCAGGGTCCCTTCCTGTGGGGCTGATCCTCCATAGTGACTGGACTAATGCCTGTGTCCCTTCCTGGGAGCCCCAGACTCTGACCAAAGGGCAGTGGGGTATATAAAAGGAGCCCAGATCTAGATTCAGTATGGGCCTGCCTCGGGAGCTTTTCTCGACGATCTTCTTGGTGCAGTCAGACATTGCATGGCCCCATCAGCCCATCTTGAGGAAGGGACACTGCCTAGGTGGCCTGGCTCCAAGAGGCCTTGCTAACAGCATGGGGGACATGTCCCACAGCGGGACACAGGACGCGGGGCTCTCAGGCTGGGCTCAAACCCTGCCCTTCCTGATTGAAGCCACTGCACCTCCTAGTGCCTAGTTTCCTCAGCAGGCCACCTTACAGGGCTGTCAGGAGACTATTAAATCCACACGCAGCCGGTTCTTGGCCTGTGTGTTGTTCTGTGGATCCCAGGGCTGTTTGTCCAGCCCCACAGCCAGAGGCTCTGTGCTATCCCCAGGTCCTGCAGGCTCCCCCATTCTTCCTTCCCCTTCTGCCCACACTGCTGACTCCCAGCTTCCTCAGCCACAAGTGCTCTCTCCTCCCCTACAAAGGCCAGGGGCTAGGAGGCACATGCTGGGTACACATACCACAGGTTTCCCAGCCTTGTCCTGTCCTGTCCCTCACCCATGGCTGGTGGCTGTCATGTTCAGTTGCTCAGGTTGCACCCAGACAAGGGAACAGACACCATGCTGGGAGGGGCTGCAAGGGACCTGTCCTGGTCTTCTCTCCCTTCCGATCTGACTTCCTCCATATCCCCCAAATTGCCTCCTTCTTCACACCTGGTTCTAGACTAGGATCCTCCTTCTTTTGCAGGTTTTGATTCCCCCTAAGGCTGAGGCAGGAGGACCCTCCATGGCACAGCAAGATGGGGAGGGGCACACTAGGGATACCAGCAGGGCCTTGAAGGGCCAGCACAGAGCCATGGTATGGGAGCCCAGAGTGTTTATCCAAATTGCCTTGCCTCTGGGAAGGGCTCAGGGAAGGGAAGACACCTCAAGTTTAGGTGACTCTATGCCCACCATCACCAATAGAAAACACCTGTGTGGGGTGGTGACCACGTCACCCAAGAGTCCACCAGGGCCAAGTGCTGCACCTCCATGCAGAAGCACGCTGCAGGCACGTGGTTCCACTGCCGGGGTTTCGGGCTCTTCCCTGGGCACAGCCTGGATTCCCTTGGACCTGTAAGCCCTACCCCCATGGGAAGAGTTCCCAGGAGAGTGCGCCTCCCTTACTGTCTTCAGCCCAGACCACTGAAAGAGGTTCCCAAGGCTTTGCTGGAAGGGCTCTGGGCTCCTGCTCTTAGCCTCGTGCCCCATGCGCGACCTCCCCCTCCTGCCCATTTTGTGCTGTTCCTGAGCTCAGCTCTACCCACACGCTTTGGCTCCTCACACAATCAGGAAACAGCAGACCCCTCAACGTCCCCCAAGGTAGCCTCAGCACCTTCGGGTACACTGCTGGGTGAAGGGCAAAAAGGTGGCCTCAGCCTGCTGGCCTCTGCTTCTCCTGTCCGGTGTGTCCCAGAACAGAAGCATTTTCCTCTGCCATCCTGGTAACATCTCTCTGACAGCCACTGACATGTGGTTTTCTAGGCCAATAAAGCCAGGCTACAATGAAGACCCCTTCCTAGGAGACATTCACAGCCAACTGCCAAGAGGGCTTTGCTGGCAAAGAGGCATCCAGGGTCTCCAGGGCTCTGACACTTTGCTATTTCTTTTGTGTTCTGAATACCCACTTTCTGCCTAAGTTCTTACTCATTTTTTTTTCAGTCTTATCAAAGGCTCCAGCCCCACCCAAGCAGGTTCTCCCCACATGTAGTTTATGTGCTAAGCAGGTCAGAGGCTGGGATACAGCTTAGTTTGCCTGGCATGTATGAAACGTGAATTTGAGGCCTGGTGCTACAAAACAAGAAATAAAAATCTTTAGAGAACATCCTGGGCAGCAGTGAAGGAAGCAAAGGATGGTTTTGGCAGGGAGGGGATGCAGAGATCGGCTGTCTACTGTCTGTTGTCTTTTGTGTAGTCTCTGGCAGCAGGTGGTAAGGCCCCAAGAGAACAACTAAAGGACCTGCCCAAGGTCAAGTGCCACCATCAAAACACAGGCCTTCCCCTTCCCCTAAAGGTAATGGAGGTGCCCCTCCCTACCCCCACCCAACCTATAGCCCCGAGACTCCAGGGTTAACAGGAGATAGCCTTCATGCCCCTATAGCCCAAGAGCCTGTGTGGCCAGACTGCTGAGTGGGCATTGGGATCCCCAACCCCAGACTCCCCCCCCCCCACTTCATACCCAGAGCCAGAAACATGCCAGTCAGGCTGGGCATCGTACCTGCTTTTATTCACATGTCTCACCACCCAAGGTGACACAAGATGGGGACTGATCAGGGCCAAAAGGGCCCCTAAGGGGCTTTAGAAGGACCCCAAAAGGAGAAGAGAATCTGGGATGGGGTTCCCTGAGAGGACAGAAGAGGGGCAGGGGTGGGGTAAGGCAGGGAAGGCCCCAAAGTCTCATGGCCCAGTGAGGCCATGCATGGTGGCTTGTGCTGGATAGGGGCCCAGAGGAGGCAGCTGGTGATCGGGGAGGCCAAGGCAGGGACCCTGTGCTGGGAATGAGGCCTGTTTCTGGGGTGGTGCCATCAGCAGAAGGGAGCATATGCAGGTGGAGATGCAGCTGAATGGCTAAGGTCTGTGGGGGCAGGGTAGCTCCTATAATGGGCCTCAAGGAACACAGTAAGGCATTCTGCCTTCAAGGGCTACTCAGAACCTTGCTGCAAACAAACAGGAAGTGGGTGCCACAATCCCTCCAGGGAGGAGGGAGCCAGGACAGCAGGGAGAGGCTTGGTGCTCAGGCTGCTGCTGCTGGCAGGAAGCTGGCCTCTGGCTCCCTGGGGGTGAGGTTGGGCAAGGCCCTAAGGTGCACATACCCCTCCCAGGCTGGAGAAAGCAGTGACAGAACTACGCACAGGGCCACTCCAACCTGTCTAAGACCGATGAGGCCCAGAGAGAGAAATGTTCTGTTTAACCACCCAGAGAAAGGCAGCGTGGCCTGGTAACTGCTTGTCCAGGGTCAAGACAGACGGAAACAGAGACAGTTTTCTGTCCCCCCAAAGCATCTCTGTGTGGCCTCTGGAAGACATCTAGATGGGACAGGCAGCCCAGGCAATGGGAGTGGGGTCAGGGACCCAAGCGTAGTCAGGAGCAGGGGCCAGGAAGGGTCCAGATCTTGGCCTCAGTGCACTTCCCAGTACAAAATTCCATCTCCCAAAGAGCCAAACCAAAGAGAAACTGGGCAAAGGTTGTCAAGTCTTCTGCACACACAAACTAGTTCTCTCAGGCACGGCACAGCTGCCACGTCTTCGGTCCCTGGGGCACACCTCGAGCTGTGGCGCCCACCTTGGCCGCCAGGACTGTCTCATCACTCAGACCACCAGGGGTGGTGCCAGGGACTTAGTGCTCACTGCTGACATGGAGAGTGTAGAAGGCCCAGGGCTCAGGGACATAGATGACACCTGGGTACTTCTTCCTGAGTATGGGGTCGTTCCATAGCCAGGCGACCCACAGTGCCACCAGCGAGAGGGTGAGGGCAAAGGAGTAGAAAAGGAAGAGGCCATTGCTGTCCAGGAAGAGGCGCCTGCGCTTCTGGTGCAGGACGAGCGCCAGCATGGTGAAGAACGTGAAGATGAAGAGGATGAAGATCTGACCCTCAGTGACCAGGTACCTGGAGAGGGGGTGATGTGCTGAGGGGAAGTACGTGGCCATGGCAACCATATCCTATCCAGTATCCTCCCCTAGACCCCATGCTGAGCTGCTCTACCAGCCACTCAGAAGACCCAACTAGAGAGGGCTCAGGGGCCAGGCCACTCTCAGCCTGTAGGGTGTTTACAATTCCCGAGCTTGTTGCCAATGTGTCAGTGACAGAATCCCTGACAATGTGGATTTCTGGCTTCTCTGGTCGCATCGGGATTCTGTTTCCACATGACAAAGCATGACTAGAGATCAGCTGCCCATAGGACACAGCGTGGTGTGCACTTGCTGTGTGCCTGACATCTCACCTGTTTGGTTTCTGTAAGCATTGGAGCCTGGGAATGCAGCTGGAATTTATGGCAGTTGTCAGCACTGTCTCCTTGTAGTCTGGGACATGGTCTCAGCTCTCTCAGGGACCTTGCAGCACCACAGCACTGACCCATTCACTTGGGAACTTCAGCCCTGCAACTCGGTGGCGTGTGATGTTGGGGAATTTATGTGACATCTTGGAGCCTCTGATTTCTGTTTATGAGGATGCATATATGGCCCTATTTCTCAAAGTTATGACAGGCGCTGGGGACATCCCTTACTGGGATCAGAATCTTGTCTCATAAACAGCTGCTGCTGCTGTAGCTATTACCGCACCAAGGCACTGTGGGCGAGAATGAGCAGGAAGCACTCGTCTAAGCCTAACCTCCTTCCCCTCTGCTGTCAGTGCCACCATCCCTGTCATCCCATCCTCAGGGACCTCTCAGGGCACCACTGGTGGCAGATCCTGGATGGGGCTGGAAGGAGCTAATGTGAGGTGGGGGCACAAGGAACAAAGTCTCCTGTCTGTTCCTGTTCTCCCCACGCTGCTTTACAGTTTACAAAGCCTTTTTCTCCCCCAGGTCCTCACCATCTCCTGAGAGTGGGACAGGCAGGCATCAAAACCATCTCACACAGGGGGAAACTGAGGCCAAGAGGGCTCTCCAGGGCTTGGGGTGGGAGGGGGCTCTACTGGTTTTACAGTACACCACACCTCACCTTACCCCTTACCCCACCCCCCCTCTTGCTACTCATAGACCTGGAAGCCTCAACAAGGCACCATAATAATCCCCCTGGACCCAGGGGGAGGCAGGGACCTGGAGAGGCTGGGCTCACTCAAGGCTACGTCACAGTGCTGTGGTCGTGTGTGGATGCTTCCTCGATGGCTCCCTCAATGCCCTGACCACCCAGGTGTCACCATCACTCACCAGTAGTACAGGCCACTGGGCACCACCAGCAGCAGGGCAGCCCTGGGCATGGTGCTCTGGGCCTTGCAGGCGGTGAAACAGCCGCTGAAGTACATGACGAGGATGAGGAAGAAGGGGATGTACCTGCCACAGGAAGCCGTGCTCAGAGGCCCACCCAGTCCAGGTCACCGCCTCCACCCGGGTCTCCTTCCCCTGACCCTGTTGTGGGATACTTGGGTGAGGAGTGTCCCTCTCTACCCAGCTATCCCATGCTGCAGGCAGAGGGGGTGGGAACAGATGGGGAGCTGAGGCAGGTCCAACTGGCTCACCACCTCTGCCTGTCCAGTGCTCCCAACCTGCCATGCCCACCATAGGACAAGGGAAAGCATGTGACACCCCAGCTTGAGCTCTGATCTCCAGAGGCTGAGTCCTCATTTGTCAGGTTTCTTCCTGACTGCAGTGGCGCCGGTAGTCGAGAAGGAGCCCTGGGAGTTCTTAAATGGGGCACAACAGACTGTTCCTCTAACCTGCTCTGTTGCCCCAGCTGGGCTGCCTGAGCTGAGAAGAGCATTGGTGGAGGCTCTGCCTCCATCCTGTCCCCAAATCACATCTTGTGGCGCAGCCTGTCTAGCAGGACTGCAGGGCCTCTGATCCTAGGTTCCATCCAGGTTTGGCCAGGGTGGGGACCACAGTTGCTTGCTGCCCTCTGGTGACTGCCTCAGGCACTGTGGGCTGGAGGAGTGAGTGTCGTGCTGGTGGTGGGATGGCCAGGGGCGCAGGGCCAGGGGACAGCAGCTGGGTCTCATACTCTGTCCAACACCTGGAGGCCTGGGCTGAGGCCCCGGATTGGCAACTGCTCTGCCTTCTTCCCTTTTGTCACTCACCACATGGAGTGGCCCAGGTACTCGTCATAGTAGTACAGCAGCTCAAAGGAGTCAATCTGGGGGCGGCAGAGACATGGCAGAGTTAGACAGGGGAATGCTGGCCACCCCAGGCCTCCCTCCATTACCCCATCCTGACGCAGGGTCTGGCCTCCCCTACAGAGGCCCAGGGCCTGTGGTGCCCTCCCAGGATGGACTGCTTACGGGCACCTGGGCCTCACCAGTGTTTCCGGCTTAAGGTTCTTGATGATGGGGTTCTCGCGGACAGACAGGTGGTGCTGGTAGCCACTGAAGAGCAGCCGGTGGTTGACAGAGTCGCCCACCAGGTGGATGCTGGCACCCATGATGAAAGTGATGATGCTCACATAGATCATGGAGCGTGGCAGCGTGCGGGAGGACCGCTCGATAAGCTGAGGACCGGGATGAAGTGCACAGCACAGCATGTCCCCACCCGGTCACAGCACTGACACCTAGGGCCCCCCTCTCCCTTACCAGCCAGCCCACTCCAGATCATCGCAGAACTCCAGGAACCCAGCAGGGCTGCGGAGCTGTACCCCCTTCTCTGGGAGCATCAGACTCAGGAACCAACCCATGCTCAGAGTCACACCTGAGCTACATGTGAGAGGTGACACTTAGGCTCTGGGCTTTGCCCTCTGGTGCCCCAGCAGTGCCTGGAGGGCTAGTGGGCTGCCCAGGGACCTGACTTCTGCGGGATTGGCTCAGTGACTGGCAAACAGGAGGAGAATACTGAGTTGGGGTGTAAGTGGGTGCTTCAGCAAATAGAGAATTCTGAGATTACAGCCACCTTGGGAGATTTGAAAAGTCTTTCATGCCAGGGTCCACTCCATGCTAGGTGAGCCACACCTAAGAAATTCTTCCTTCCCTCTTCACTTTTTTTTCCAGATAGGGTTTCACTATGTAGTCCAGGCTGGGCTTAAACTCAAATTCCTCCTGCCTCAGCCTTCCCAGAGCTGAGACTACAAGCGTGCATCACCACACTCAGCAATGAAATATCTTTCTCAAAAACAAAATGACAGGCACAGTACTGAGAGATGACTTTATCTTGGGGTTTTTCTAGCCAGGGTGGAGGTTCAGCCTCCATTGCTCCCTTCCCACTGCCTGTCCCTCAAAGCTTCCCAACTGGCCCGACCTCTCCCTGCACACCGCAGTACCTGTCTCAGCCTCCCCAGTGCTGTGTGGTTCCCCAAGCGGAACTTGTCTGCAGTTCCTCCTGAGGACCGCCTCTCCCCATTCACCTTCAGCCACAGGGCTCCTCCTGGAGTTGTCTCTGTGCCCATGTGCGGGGCACCCCTCTCCCCGTCCCGCCAGCCCCCATCCACCAGGCTACAGCAGGGACGGGGCCAGGACTGTACCTTGAGCAGGAGGAAGGGCGTGATGACATTGTAGGCCATGTGGAAGTAATCGCCAACGCTGGGCTTGTTGAGAGGAAACCACTGGAGTGGGAACACCAGCTGGGGATGAGAGGAGCACTCAGCAGGTCGTCCACAAGACCCCTTCACACATCTGGCAGTCCGTGTTTGCAGGGACCCTCCTGGCACCCACGAGAGAAAGGGCTTCTAGATAGGGAAACTGAACTCGCAAAAGGCCTTGTGCCCACTCAAACAGTAGAGATGACTTCTAGCCCTGGTGTCTTTCTCAGTGGACACAAATAAATGTGTCTGGATTCCAGGAGGCTCCTTTGAATTTGCTGAGCTCCATCAATTTGCTGAGCGACCCTAGCAACTCCCTCCCTGCTCTGGGTCTCAATCTGTAACACGGGAGAGATGTTCTGGTGGTCTACTTGGACCTTCAAGGTTCTGCCACTACAGGTCCTAGGTGGGCTTTTGGAAGATTACTGGTCTCAGGGACTTATAACTGACTCCATTTAGGAGGTGAGGTCTGGTCCAAAGAGGCGGGTCATTGCCACTAACAGGGTTTCGTGAGTTCAATACCCGGTACTGATAAAAAGGAAAAAGACAAAAAAAAAAGGGGTTTCTGTCTCTCTCGGGCTCTTCCATTGGTTCTCTACTTCCTGTCCACCGTGTCAGAAGTAGCTCTCCTCTGCCATGGCTTTGTGCCAGCAGACTATGGACTGAAATGTGAACCAGAAGAAACCTCCTCTTTTAAACTGTGGGTTTTGGGCATTATATCTTAGTGATAAGAAAAGTGCCCAGAACAGATTTTGATGCCAGAGAATTGGGGTTGTTGCTATAACTATACCTGATCATGTGATTCAGAAGCCTTTGAAGGCTGGTTTGGAGATGCTGGCTGGAAAAGCCCTGGAATGCTGTAGGTCAAGGTTGATGGGAGATTCTGGCCAGAATTCAGAAGACCAGAATGCTGATAGAAATGCAAACAGTAAAAGCCAGGCACAAAAACTCCACTGGGAACAAAAACTCCATTGACAGCTGAACTTCAGACCATGTATGTTACGTTCTGACAGAAAATCTATCTATAGTTTTTTTATTCATGTCCTAAGACTTTGCAGGTGACTGAAATTAAGGGCAATGAACTAATTTTTCTGGTGGAGGAAATTTCAAGATAGCCCAACATTGGGGCTGAGGCATGGATACTGTTGGAGGCTTTTAGCTAGGTTTATACTGAAAAGTGAGAGCTAAAAGCCAGTTTCTAAAGCTTTCAGTTTTGCTAGCAAACAACTAAAAAAGCATCTACAAAAATGGAGTAGAGGGCTGGGAATATAGCTCGGTGGCATAGCACCCTGGCAAACCCAAGGTCCTAAGTTCAATTCCTGGTACCAAAAAAAAAAAAAAAAAAAAAAAGTGGAGGGTAGAGGGGGGTGAGGGGGGCTTGGTTGCTATAAAGATGACCATAAAAAGGAAGCCAAGGATTTCGGGTTAGGACATTAGGAAAAATGGCATAAGGGCATGGCAGGAATCAGGAAGACTCCCACTGTTCAAAGGCACAAAATTGAAGAAGTGAAAGACTACCAGGTGTGGTGTCACACAACTGCATCCCAGTGCCCAGACTTAGGCAACTCTTGGAGGTGGATTCAGTGTATTTTGCACAAAGGGATGGGCATAAGTCTTTTGGGGGCCATAGGCTGAATATTATAGTACTCAGAAGGCTGAAGTAGGAAGATTGCTACGAGTTTGATGCCATAAGGGCTACACGGTGAATTCAAGGCCAGCCTGAACTACATAGTGAGACCCTGTCTCAAAAATAAAACACAAACTAAAAGTAAATGAATAATACAAAATACAAAACAACAAAATAACACCAAAAAAAAAAAAGTGAAAAGTCTTTGCCTTGAGAAGACAGACTCAGGTCAGCATACTCCAAAATGACAGCCTAGAGCACTGATTCCCTGGGATTCAGTTCACAGTGCTCAGCAGTGCAGACGTTCAGACGTTCAGGGACCTCTCGAGCCGTGGCATAAGAGGGCTTGGCTATTGCTCTAGCTGAGAGCAGACCTCAGCATCATTCACTTGGTGCTGGTTTTAGGTACACGCAGAATGCAAGAGTTATGGGGTCAGAGTGGCTTCTACTTAGATTTGAGAAGAAAATGGGAGGCCAAGCAGTGTGCCCCTGAGAAAGCAGTATGTGAAGCTATGAGTGTGAAGCTACCAGTGCAGTGGAGGCCCCAGAAGTTAGAGAAGCCAGGAACATGAAACATCTGAGGAGGGAACAAAGCCAGCTCAAGAGAGAAGTCATAAGTGCTGCAACCACTGGCAGTGCAACAAGGGCGGGGCTGCCCAAGCCACGTGGAGTTCACATCTCTCCTTACCACTTGCTTGGGTGCTAGACATGAAGCTACAGAAGTTAATGTTGCCCTGCTGGGTTTTGGTTTCACTTTGGTTTCATTGGTTTCTAGCCCCCTCTTGCTCCATTTTGGAATCAGAGTGTTCATCCAGCAGTATGTTGTACATGTTTAACTTTCTTTTTAATTTGAATAGGTGCTCACAACTAACAGTTTGCTTTGAGTCTCTAAGATGACTTTGGACTTTGCAGCAATGCTGAAACGGTTAGGACTTAGGCAACTCTTAGAGGTGGATTCAGTGCATTTTGCATAAAGGGATGGGCATAAGTCTTTTGGGGGCCAGAGGCTGAATATTATAGTTTACATCTAGATGCTCCCCAAGGGCCTCAAGTGCTTATAGGCAGGGCTTTTGGAAGGTGACTGGAATATGGGGGCTGGTGGCTGATTTGCTGTTAGGAGGTGTGGTCTCTGGGGCCATGGGCTGGAAGGTATGGATCTCCCTTCCAGGCATCTCCCTTGACTTTCTGCTTCCTCTCTGCTATGCCTCAAGCAGCTCTCCTCTCCCTTGACCCTGTGCTGTGCTGTCCTGGCTTGGAGCCAGGTGACTATGGACTGAACTGTGAGCCAAATGAACCTCTCCTCCTTTAAGTTGTAGGTGTTAGGTATAATGTCTCAGCGACAAGAAAAGTTCCTAAGACCACAGTAAAACAGTTACTCAAGGTTCATAATTCATAATATGCAAACTTGGAAGATATGTTTCATCTCCAGGAAAATGACACTATCCCAGGTCCCCAGGGAAGGCAGGACATGTATGCAGCATCCCTTCCCTGTCCCTCTCACCTCCTTCAGGGGATGTAGTCCTATAGGGGAACACTCATTACATATAATGACTATTGAGATCCCCCCAACCCCCTCACTTGCTGCAGCTGCCAGACTGGCCATAGTCACAGTGCTAAAGGATGCAAAAGCATTGGGACCTACACTCCTTTTGGTTTACTGGCAGGGTACATGACTTGCCTACGGTCACTCTGTAAACTTAAGCCTCACTGGCTCCTCAGCACTGGTCAGGACTCACACTCACCATAGCAATGGGGCGGCCAAAGTCCAGGACCCAGTTCTGCAGGGTGAAGTAGAACCACAGGTCAAGGTGGAAGGGAGCTGTGTGGTTGACCTCCTCCGCCTTGATGGGGCTGTGCCTGGGAAGGACAGATGAGGATCAAGCCCTCTCCTCTGCCCATCAGAACCCTCCTCCAGCTGAGCTGCTCGAGGCCTGTTGTCTTGAAAGCAGGGAGACACACATGGCTGAGGTCTTGGGAAAGAGTTCTGCTGGAACACAGGAGTTTGGTTCTGTAGTTAAGGAGGAAGTCACTTTCAGTTGTCCCGGGCTTGGCTTTCCTGGATTTGGAAGGGAAACTGCCAAACAGGGAATGATAACGGTGGAGCTTCCTTCCTCCCCTACAAAATGAAGGGGAAACGAGACAAAGGGTCCTGACGCAGCTGCAGGCCGTGAAACATGGATGACAGCAGGTAACCTTACCAGGCGCGGGCTGTATTCAAGGTGCCCTCATTAACTGTGGCACGGAGAATCTCGTTCGTTTTTTGTGGTGCTAGGGACAGAACTGGATGTGCCAAGCACTGCCTTTACCTCTGGGCTGCATCCCCAGCCTTTCAGTTAGTTCTCATCCTCATAAAAGCCCTCAGAGATTAGACAACTATCTGATCTCACTGTTCTCTGGGGCCTGCAGATCTTCTCTAAATTAACCGAGTCTTCCTGTCCCCCTGCATGCCCCACCCCTGCCTCTTGCTGAACACCAACTGTGTGCTCCTCCAGGAGCTCTACCCGTGCTGCCTGGTCCTCCCAGCAACCCGGGCAACATGAGTGGCTACCCTGCAGCTCCCAGATATGAATGCCTGCTTGCTCAGAGGGGTCATGGTTTAGCCTTGGCCACCCACATGGTCAGAAGCACTGGGCAGCTCCTGCTGCCAGCCTGTGTCTTGCCCTGTTTCTTCTGGTAGGATGTATCCTTGGTCCCAGGGAAGGCTGCTGACTAGGGTGGCCAGTGGAAGTTTTCTAACTGAAGCCAGGGAGCAAACTTTCTTCCTACTGCTGGGGCTCAAAAGACGCAGGCCCCCCGCTGCCCATGACACAGTTTGCTGAGAACCAGGCAGCCCGCAGAGGGGATTGACGGAAAGCGAATATTTGTGTGTCCAGTGCCGGGCACCCCCAGGGCAACACATGCCCTTTGCTGCGTTGCTATAGGTCACCTTGGCTTTCTGTCCCTTGTAAGGCTAGAGTCCTGCGCTGCACAGAATTCACACCTGGCTGTCCAGGAATTCAAGGCCTGTGCTTTCTACAGTGAGTCTCTTCTGAGTTTGGTTATTGTGATACGACAGATGAAAGCGGTCAGCGAGTACACTGGAGTAGCACACCCCTGCAAGAAGGCAGGAAGCCCGGGGTAGGGCAGGCGCATTTCACCTGGCAGCAGGAGCAGAAAGAAAGGCCACACAGTGGCAGTGAGATGCCAGGAAGGGCTGGCTGGGCAGCGAGGCAGAGGAACCAGGAGAACCGCTTGGGGACAGTGACCAGCCCAGAGGGAAGGCAGACGCCTCAGTGTTTTTCTTAGATCCTCAAGGTGGATGTTTGCTCCAGGTTCCTGACCCCAAAGACTTCAGGCCCTGAGCACAATAGCAGGGAACCTGACACGAGACCGGCCTTGTAGCATCTGGGGACACTGACACCATGACAGCTGCACAGCGCATCACACTCAGGCAGTCAGCAGTATCAGCAAGACAGTGGTGGGAAAGGAGGGGAGCCTGGCCGTGGAGAAGTTGGGAGGGACCTGTGAATGGGACTGATTTGGGTTCGAAGGAAGAATGGTGGTGCTGGCCTGCATCCCAGCACTCAGGGAGGCTGAGGCAGGAGGGTTTCTTGTTTCAGGCCAACTAGGCAGCTTAGTGACTTAGCAGGACCCTGTCGAAAAATAAAAAAAAAGTGCTGGAGACGTAGCTCAGTGTGAAGCCCTTGAGTTCAATCCCCAGTATGAAAAAAATAAGATAGGGAGTTAGGCCAGTCATAGTAAGTTCTAGTGAGGGGGAAAGAAAAGTGCAGGCCAATGAGACGGAGAAAAAGAAAAGCACTTAGACCTTCCTGGAAAACAAGGGCAGTAGTACAAGGTAGCAAACGTAGCTGCTGGCCACAATGGGCTCTGCATGGTTTGAATAACGTAAACACTGTCAATGTCTAAGATCAACCTGGAGATGAAATGTAGAAAATAACTGACAGCCCCAAAATGCAGAGGGTAACTGCGACTCCTCGTGTCGGCCCAGCGCCTAACACCAGAGGCGCCTCGTGTCCAGGGGCGCTGTGCGAGCTACCTCCGGGTAGTGAACAGCTGCGGCGCAGAGGGAAGGCTTCGGGGATCCCCGTGCCCCGCGCCTCCCGCTCAGCTCGCAGACACAAGGCGCCCCTGGGATCAGAGGAATCCCGCGCTCCTTCCGCGACGGTCTCACGTTCCGAGGCCTCTCAGGGAGAGCAGGGAGCCTCCCGCTGCACGGCGGAACCGAGTCCTACTAGTCCGCAGCGAGAGCTCGGAGGCGGGGCCGGCACCACCAGCGCTCGGCGGAGTCCCGGGGCCTGGAGAAGTCGCAGAGAACGCTCCGAGAAGCGCGGGAACCCAGCTCCGACGAGGGCGCCCCCGAGAGCGCGGAGGTCGCGGCGGGCGAAGGTGAAGCCCCTAACCCTGGTGCCCCCCAACCCCCCAACCCTGGTGCCCCTTGGGGCCGTGCGTACCCACCGGGCCTGCTGGAAGGAGGCACCCAGTAGTTGCGCGCCCGCCGCGCCCGGCTGCTGCCGCCTCCGCGTCGCAGCCTCCATGGCCCGCCCGGAGGAAGGGGAGACCAGATCCCTACGGTGGAGCCCCAGGGTCGGATCAGGATCTCACGGCCGGATCTCCAAGGCTGCGCCCGGGCACCGAGCAGACCCACCCGGAGGCAACGGCGTGGGGGCGGGGCTTTGGGGAGGGGCGGGGCCTCGGGGCGGGGCGGGGGGCGGGGCGGGGCCTCGGGGCGGGAGTTGAGAGGGAAGAAAGATGGGGAGGGAGAGGGAGGAGGGAGAGAAAGGGACAAGGAGGCCCGATCTCCCGGGGGAAAAAGGGGAGCCCCAAAGTGGCAGCCTTGTACTTCAGCGGGGGCGCGCACCCACAGTTCATGTGGCCATGTGGAGCTGGTGACTGCTCACGTCCTCTGTGTTTAGCCTCAGCAAACTTGCCTAGGCTGGCTGAGGCCATGTACTGGTCTGGGACTGGTTTTGAATCTGGGGAAAAGACCAACTGACTGTCTCTCCTCTGGCGAGGAGGCCAGTTGGGATTTCCCTTGCCCTTGGGGACCGGAAGGCCTGGTAGGTTCCTGTGCTTACACCCATGGTGCTGTGCTGTGCATCTTTCTTTCTGGGGGAATGATGTCCCTGATTAAAATGTCAACAGCAAGGGCTGTGATGATAAGAAATAAATAATGGCTGGTTTAGGAGGTAGCCCCTAGAGGAGCAGGATTCTCTCCAAGTGGGATGTGCAGACTCCAGGCTGGCTTTGTCACTCTGTGGGCCTTGTGGCTTTGGAAAGGTCACTTCCCCTCTTGTAATGGGAAGCTGGAGGCTGAGAGCAAGCTTCAATTGCGTTGGAATTCCAGGTTAGGTCCCTGCTCAGTTCTGCACCTATCCTGGTAATCACTTAAAGGAATGTATATATCCAGTGCAAGGGGATCATTACAGACCCCTCTATGAGGGGTTACCCTTCCAAGTCCTAGCAATTGGCTACCCCAAAGCAGGAGTCCTCTCTGGCCATGGGAAGCAAACTGTTCCCTAAAGCAACTATGCTATCCTAAGACCTTGAGGAACCAGTCCTAAAAGACTGATAATCCTTTCTTTTTCTTTTTTCTTTTCTTCCTCCCCTCCCCCCGCACTGGGAATTGAATTCAGGACTTTGCATTTGTCAGGCAGGTGTTTATGCCACTGAGCTACATCCCTGGTCCTGACTGATAGTCCTGAGAGAGATCTTCCAGACCACACTTCATCTGCTTTGCCAGCTGTGCAAAGCCCCCAGCTATAAAAAGCCCAAACCCTTGCCTTTGTCCCACTTTTCTCTAAAACCCCAGAGCACTGTCTGTGGGCCCTTGGAAGGCAAGACCCTGAACCTCTTCATCTGCATGGCCAGACCAGTTAAACCTCCTCTCCTGCATCGTTGGACAGGTGGTCACATCTGGTCTGTTGGCCCCAGGGCAGAGGCTTTCAACCTAAAATTCTGGAAATCCCTCCATTCAAATGCCTCCCTTGCCCTGAGCCCAGTGTGGAGAGGGAGAGGTACCACACCCTGCTCTAGGAGGGCTTGTGTCTAGAGTTGTTGGTGAGCCAAGTGATGAAGAAAGTACTGCGTGTTGTGAGGATAGAGAGGCTGGTGCCACAGGAATGGCAGGTTCAGCGAGAGCAGCCAGTGACTTGGGGAGATCCTTTCACCTGAGGCGCCTCACTGTGCTGGGCAAGGGAAGTGGCAGGGATCTGTGTTTTAGGTGCAGCCCCCAGGGTGCAAACCGCAGTACAGGAAGCAGCCTGTATCAAGTGGTGTCTTAGGTGCAGCAGGTTCCGCGTCTGGGCAGGTGGTAGAGCTCAGTGGTTGAAGTGGGTTGAAGCAGATGCGGGGATGATGAGGATGCATCCTTGCATAACTAACCTTGGGGTTGTGGGTCAGGAGTCTGCGACTTGTTACCAGAGAAAGGGTCCCCCGTAGGGCTTTTCTCCAGGTTCTTGGTGTCTCAAAGAATTAGACAAGATGCACAGAAAAGGCAGTGAATGTGTATATTTACTGAAGGTGAAAAGGATGTAGGCTCTGCAGAAAGGGAGAGAGAGGGAGAAAGAGGGAGAGAGAGGAGGACCATGCTGGAAGAAGTCTCCCAGTGGCCTGGAGAATGAGGAAAAAGGGTCTTTGGTATCCAGCCTTCCTGGGTTATCTCCCTCTCAGCAGAAAGGCATTGAACACTCACCCTATTTGATGCTTACTATGTAAATTGTCCTATGGAAAGTTCTCTTGGATTCCTCCCTCATGTAAATGAAGGATCAGGAGCAGTGTCTTTTGATTGGTTGATTCAAAGATCATCCTCTGATTGATGGTTTCAGGGGTGGTGGTGGTGGGGCTCGCCCTGTTGCCCC